AGCAGACTCTGAATGGCTTGGAACTTGTTTGTGAAAGATCACCGCGTGAATCACCTCTGTTTATTTTATTTACAGGAAGTTAATGCGTCATATAACAAAGAATGATTGCAAAAAAACTTAAGTCATTGGGACTTCGGTGTTGTATCTACGAACAAAAGAACGTCTGGTTACAAGTCTTCTAGTACTTTCGGTACATTTTAATTCAGATATCAACAAGTATTTCCTTAATTAGGGTTTTTTTGTAAGGGCAGGGGAGAAGTAATTTGATGAATACCTACCGTATTCATCAAATTACTTCTCCCGCCCAGGGTGGGGCGAGAGGAAGTGTCAGACTGTTACTGACTAAAAACCTCCCGTTCCATCTTCTGGTCTAGGCCGATGCGGCAGTGCCTTATTGATCTTGCCCTGCAACCCCGGCTGAACATCACCCTTATAGGGCACTGTCTAAGGTGGTCTATTGGCTCTTTAAGGCTCCTCAGCTAGGGTTGCAGGTCTAGCGCAGTTATATACCGTGACCCTGCCCTGCAAAAGGAGACACTCTCTCTCTCCTCACCCAGGATGTGAGAAGTCATTTGACGATTTTCTTCCTCAAAAGAAAAAAAAATGGTAATTACTCGCTGTTTTATCCACTCCTTGGCTTCTATTGTTTTGTTTATTGTTATCTGCGATGGTCTGAAGCAGGAGAAGGAAGAGAGTGGTTATATTCAGTAAGAGTGTGACAAACTCTGGGTGAGAGAAGAATGCATGATTTCCCCTCCACAAAAAAAGTTCCCTGTTACTTGCGTGGTGGTTACCGTGTTAAGGATGTGTGAGAGTAATCCTTACTTACCCTGTGCAACAAGGACCATGTAAATCCCAACCGTACCTTGTCTAACCTGGCAATTAAACTTCAAAAGACCAAAAAAGACATTCAATCAACAAATAAACATAACATGCCTAATAGTCCTCGCGTGTTTTTTGTCAGTCATTCGACGAACCGATCATAATTACGAGTACCTACCTAGGTAGCCTAGGTAAAAGTTAGTCAATTACTTAGGAACAAAAAGTAGGCTACCTACAACAATATCTAGGTCAGGTTTAAATTGCAAATTGCATTGCCACGGAACAAATTATTGCATGTTTGCATTTTTTTTTACTTTTTGCTGCGAAACCGATGACCTTGGGCTTCGACTGTCTAACACGACTGCCGAGTGAGAGGCTTCGGTTTGATTCTCGCGCCATTCCCGAGTCTATTATTTTACCGTAGTGTATAGTCCTGGCGCCGCCGTCAAGTGTCAGCTCCAAACTGTCTAAATATATTATTTTCTTTTTTGATTACTTTGAATAAATATAAGTGTTACACTGTTCTCACTTAATAGTACCAACTTAATAATGACTGCACGGTTGGCGCGGTGGCTGGTCAATTGGCTGCCGCGCAACGTGTCGCAGTTTCGATTCCCGCACGGAACAACTCTTTGTGTAATCCACAAATTTTTTTCCGGGTCTGGGTGTGATGTGCATGTGAAATTGAATGTATGGTAAGCAATCAGCGCCGCCCATAGATACCTGCGTCACCAAAGGCGTTACGAGTGCGTTGCCGGCTTTTTGGGGATAAGGGTTTCGGATATTTAAGGATTGGGAAGGAACGGGGCGTGGGGTAGGGATTGGGCATTCGGTATCCTCACTCACACAGCGAAACACAACGCTGTGTGTATTGTTTCACACGGGTTTTCTGTGAGGCCGTGGTATCACTCCGGTCGAACCGAACCATTCGTGCCGAAGCTTGGCTCTCCCACACTTAAACTCAGTTATTACAAATATTTTAACAATCTGTGACGTCACAGATTTCACGTCCTAGACACCATGAGATCCAATTACGCATGTAGTCGTTTTAAATATCAACTTTTCCTCATAAGCGTCATTCAAAGTGAAGTTAATGTGCGGTATGACAAAATGTATGACTCATTTACTTAGGAACATTCTCAATGGAAGAAGTAACAGTTTCCTTCAATTTATTTAATCATACGTATGTACCTAGCACCAAAATGTAAACGTTTTAAGAGATTTCAATTTTCAACTCTATCTCGAGTGAAGTGAAGGTTGATGTGCTGTTGACTGTAATTGTAGTTTACTCTAAGACTTTGGTTGTCTCAATGCATATTCTAATGTTATATGAATAAACAAATAAAAGATCAATTTATTATAAAAAAATGTGCAAGTTAACGTCATTAGTACTATATAGTTAATTAGCGGGTTTAAACATTCAAACTAATACTTCACTACATTGTAAAAAACAAAGTCGCTTTTTCTGTCTCTATATCCCTATGTATGCTTAAATCTTTAAAACTACGCAAAGGATTTTGATACGGTTTTGTTACGTACCTAATCAAAGAGGAAGATTTATAGGTATATGTATAAGTAGGTAGGTATAACAACATCCATTAAATAGTGGAGGAATTTAGTAAGTACATTGAAACTGTGCGAATCCGGGGCGGGTCGCTAGTCATATCTATAGGTAAATAAATAGCAAAATGTGGGAGAGACATGCTTCGATACCCTATTCTCGGACCATACAGCAAAGCGGCGTGAAACAACTACAGCGTTGTGTTTAGTCGTGTGAAGTTACAAATCCTCTCATTTCTCCATAATCCCTTTATTTCCAAAACCCTAATTACTAAAGGCAGCAACGCACTCGAAACTTCTTTGGCTATGCAGGTGTACCTACAATTGGGTAGTTTCTTAGGTCAAAAATAAATTATTTCGACGTTTCAACACAATTAAATATTGAAAAATACTTACTTACTATACTTTTATTCATCGATCGATCGATACACTCATTTTTAGATATTTTTTAGCAAAAAAAGTTACGACGTCATAGCTCAGTTTTCATACAAATTTTATATGTATATAAAAGTATAGTTTTTGACGTCTGGATAAAAGTATTGAATTTGACTAGTTGGAAACCACCGTATTGTAAATGGGCGGCGCCGATTGCTTACCATCAGGTAATATGTCTGCTCGTTTGCCGCCCTACCAATTTTTTCACATGCAAATACTGTAGGTACTTCGTCTTATCAGTTTTAAATTGTAGATCTATATGTAAAATACTAAGTACCTACTTATTTATGGATTTTTGCTGTTCTTATCAATTTACCATATTGACATTAGCTATAGGTACTTAAATAAATATTTGTGAATATTAGGGCATCGCACTTTATATGTCTATCAGGAAATCAATAAGTTAACGGACGTACAACTTAACGGATGTTGCCGCTTTACCCGAGTTTACCCGCTGCTCGGCTTTATTTGATCGTAGCGTGATGGTTTATAGCCCACAGCACTCAGAAACATTGTAGCTATCTATCAGTGAAAAATTTTGGCAAACCGACCAGCGGTTCCAAAGCTTACCCCCTTACATACAAACTTACAAATTTTACCTCTTTATACTTAATATTAGTATAGATGTATAGATAAAGCTTTCTACACCACACCTACAAGCATTTTCATCATCATCACCAACCTGACTGCTGAGCAAAGGCCTCTTGTCATACGGAGAATCACGATGTTTTCCTTCACCGTATGTCAGTGGTGTCTAAATAATCATAGAAAGTATTTTCATATAACTCGGAAAACGTCACAGTGTTACTTGCTAGGTTTCGAACCCGCACACTTAGATATGCATGAGAAGCTGTGAACCGCCATAACATGTCATGATTTTCTTAATAATGAAAATGAATTACCGAAATGTTTGTACACGCATAACTCGCAAATTGCTTGACTGAATTTGATTAATTACATCTTATGTCTTTTTCGTTATGGTTAGCAGTTAAATATTGCACACAAATAATTTCTCTACTTTTATTTTTGTTTTCCAAAGAAAGAATATTTCATTATTTATTATATGCAATTATATGCATACAACTTCATAGAGCACAAGGTTTATTTTGTATTCTTATTTAAAAGTCGACTTTAATAGCAATATAATATTGTTTATGAATAATTTATCATTTTTTTACTATCTATCCCAGACGTATAAAACCGAAATGACAGTCAGTTAGACTGCTATGTATCACAAAGTGCCATTTTAAATCACGCTAGCGATAGGCAGATGTATGCATACCTACGTAATATAATATACAACTACTTGTGCAAAAGTATGATACCCATTTTTCCTTTCAAAATAAGGGGTGACACTTGGAATTAATTGTATCTGCTAAATACTGCACTGATTGACAAGACGCCATGGTACAAGTCAGCTATTTAGAAAAAAAAATACAGCTACATATTCGGTCCTTCCCGGAAGGACAAGGAAGAAATAAAAGACGCCTTGCTAAGATCACGCGACCACCAACTACATAAACACACAGCTAGTTATAAAAAATGGTATATGGGCAAAATGGCGGGAAAATATTTTTCTATATTCATGTGCGTATGTTTCGAATGGTTAAGGTTATCGTTATGTTTATGTGCATCAATAAATTTTATGTTTAACACGCTATGTGAACCAAATAGCAACATTTGCAAATAACTACTCGTAAATCAATAAATGACTGACCATTTAAAATGTGTAGTAAAATGTTTATCAAGTACATATATTGGCATTTTATTTCTGATTTTAATATAGGAACCACTTGCTACAGCGTAATTAGACTGATTCTAATGATGTGGAAACTAAGTCGCCAATCTACTCAAGCATTGACGTAACAAAACAGGTTTCATTTAAAATTAACACCAACTCAGATATTTACGAATAACTGAAATTGCATTTTATCAATCTGAAAATAAGGCACAAAATATAAACATAAATCATTTACTAGGTAATCTAATATCATGTGAACTCGTATCAGTTTCGTAACATACCTTGAACAAATTCAAAGTATTTTATTGGTTTTTTTTTTCGTGATAAAACAGGCTATCCTATATAGATTATTTATCTGTGTCGCCATCGCCACACCTTGCCTTATCGCCTAACCTTCGCCTAACAAGGTACTAATAAATAAAAGATAAAATTATGTTGATCACAATGTATTCTTTAGAGTATAACCCTGTACTTCTTGTATTTAGAATTAGGTATTACAATACAACATTAATTGTTTGTGGGATTTACACATATGTATGATACAAATATGTACGTATTGAGTTTCAGAATTCTGCGGCATAGTAAAGTAATTATACTAGATCTTATCACATTTCAATATTTTACATTTAAGGTACATAGCAGGTTTTATTATAATTACAATAACAAACACCTTCCATATTGACATTAATTATTATTTCAATAAACATCTAATCATAAGTCACACAAGATTCAAGTGAAAACAGAATGAATCACAACAGAAGGGCCAAACAGTTCAGATAACAGATGACTCACTTTACTATACTTGTACACCAACCTCAGAGTTGCCATCACAAACAATGCAGGATATGACAAAGTTAGCGGTAAAAATAAATTACCAAAAATAAATAAAATGTGTGATGTAACTTTAACTAATAAATGTACAAATCTTTCTAAAACAAAAGCAACAATCAATCACTGTTCGTTTTCAAAACTAACATAGCAATTAAAATAAAAACTTAATACTATTATTTAACTATAAACACACATCCGAATTCAGTCGCTCCCACACAGACTATGATACACTGGTAAAACGTAAACATTCACCAAATTAAAGCTTTCGAGTATGAAGGAGGGATGGGGCTCAGAACTTAAGTTTAGGGTTGAGTTCATGGGCGCGGCCGCCCCACTCCAATCGGTAAGTGCGAGTCCGCCACGAGATCTCTGGGCTGAGCAGCGCCGCCGCCAGCACGAACGGCGCGCAGCACTCGCTCCACACCCAGCCTAGCAAAAACTGCACTTTGGTGAACGGCGGCGAGCCGTTCTGCACTGACCGGAGCATCAGCCAGTCCGAGAGGAACCACACTAGCACATGCACTAAGAAGAACGGCAGCGGCTCCGCGCCGAACAACTGTCCCGCCGCCCAGGCGGCGCCGGCACCCAGCGGCATGCACTCGCTGAGCGGCTCCAGCATCGCTGTCGTAGGAATCATAGCGATGCGGAGTCGCGCCCAGCGCCGCAGACGCGCCTGCAGAGCGCCCACTGACCGCGTGCCCGAGTTCTGTAGCGCGGGCAGCGAGCTGACGCGCATCTTCCAGCCGCGCGACACGATGTCCTTGGCGATGAAGTAGTCCTCGGCCAGGTAGTCTGCAAAGGCCCGCAGACCGCCCGCCTCCTCCAGCGCACAGCGTCGCACCATGGACGACATGCCCACATGACAGTTGATACCCAAGAAGTCTGCCGACAGATACATGCGCGCCTGCGCAGTGCCGAAGTACACTTTCTCGTAGACGGATGCGAATCCCTCCGCGTCGCAAACGAACGGCATTTGATGAACTATAGCGACCTCCTCCGTCATATGCTGCACCATGTCCAGCAAGGTGTCGTCTCGCATTCTGATGCCCGCGTCGCTGATCAGTATCAGCGGGTACTTTGCCGCCAAGTAAGCCGGTTGCATGTTGTTGATCTTCGGGTTGACACCGACTCGCTGCCCACCCACGAACAAACGAGCTTCGATGTGAGGGTGCTTGTGAATAAGGCTGTTCACTAACATCACTGCCGGGTCGTGCTCGTTTTCAACACAAAACAATAACTCGTACGTAGGGTAGTCGAGCGTAAAGAATGTTTCCAGGTTGGAGAACAGGTTGGGGTCGACCCCAGTAAGCGGCTTCAGGATTGACACACCAGGGTACGGTTGTTCAGGCGGCGACCGGTCCACTGTCCCATGGAGCTTCCACTTCGAGTAACAGTAAGCCATTATGTGAATTAACCACAGACACACCCATGCGATCATAAAAAATATGGCAAAACCATACACAGTATACACAATAGGCATCATAATTGTATCCTTAAGTAGCTGTCGCGTTCGGGCCGCATAATATCGACGAGTTTCGTGTAGGAGACGTGCGCTATGACGCGATCATAACACTGAACTGAATGTGTGATAAAAAATGTGTTAACGTGTAGAATGAACACTCCGCAAAATGATACAACATTTTATATTATCACGTTATCTATACGGTTTTATCATTTTGAACAGGTTTCAGAAATCAATTCCTTTATCAAGCGGCTGAACCCGAGACGAGATAGCGAAAATCCTTCACGCGACAAACTTCAAGCGCTACTGCTGCCAACATTACGAACGCTATAAAGCTACGTTTAGTTTTACCTCAATAATTATTTTTGATACATGACGAGCACGATTGAATAGTTTTAAAATAAGACATCTATAGTAAATTATATACAAATAGTGGAATGTATAATTAAACAACTTTAATATATTAATATATCTACATACAATAGATGTTTTTTGTTTTCCTGGCTTTACAATAAGCGTTCTGTATATTAGGTTTAAATAAGATGTAAGAGAATTAGAAAACATGTATTTTATTTTTTTATTTAAATAATATGTACTTTGCTAATGCAAATCTTATTTTAATTAATTATTTTTTTAATTTATATAAAACAATTAGATTATAAATTGATTTTTCATCATTGTTGTGCACGCGTGTACAAATTATCACTCCTGAACTTCAACAGGAAATACCAACCTTATAACACTAACTTGACAAAAATAGCGTCGTTTCAAATTGTTTCGCGGTATTTGAGAATAAGTGAAAAATATTTTTAATTGTGATGAACTAGGATTTAATTCGTCATGGATATAGGAAAACTATTAAAAAACGTTCGTAGCTTGAACGAATACATATCGACAACTCAAGATGCTTCAGAGAAATGTAAAGCTTCAAAAATACAAATGAACATGTCGACTGTTCTTTCTCTGAAGAAAATACGTTCTCTGGAAATCGAGGTTCTTTTTTTATTGATTACAAATAGTGAAAAGGATACGTTTCCTTAATGAACTTTAGCTCGCTTACTCGTTACTTTGTTTCAGTACTTTAATAAATGCGAGGAAAATGGAATAGCATGTGTGATATTCGAGCGAATGTTATGTTTACCGCCTTCCAAAACATGGGGTGTCCTCAGCAAGGAGTTGGTAAATCTGCTGCAGTACTGGTTGGACGCCATACGAAAACATTTAGTTCGACATAACTCTCAATGGTGGACGTTTATGAAATTGTTACTTACATTTTTAAAGGTATGTACTGATAAAAGTAAAGTATGTGAGTAGCGTTTGTTGAGTGGAAAAAGTGGGCGTTACTTTGTACTATGCACACCTATACCTACCCCATCGAGAAGTAAAAGTCTTGAAAATACAAAAAATAAATCCCAAAATGAAAATATACCCAATACACACAATTTATAAAATACATTTATGTAAGGTTAATATTAGTAAGGTTTTAGTGGTATAATTATTTAAATTGTGTTTATAGAATTAATTTTACATAAAACCTAATTATAGGAGATCCGACAAAAAGACACATCTTTGCCAAACATATTAGTGGAGCATACAGCGGAATGTTTACTGGACCTGGCCACTAACACTCGTCCAGATGCCTTACAAAAGCATGAGATACTTCACTGCTTCAATATGTATTGTTCTGAATCTAGCCGAGAGATCAGATTCGCTATGAGAAACAAGTTTGGGCAGTACTTGTAAGTTTTCTTTATTTTTTTTATACAAATGCTTTTCATACTTTACAGGCCTAGGAAGCCTGCAGTCCAGCAAGTAGGTCCTACTGTAAAAAGTCTCTCTCATTTTATGTCTACATAATACAGATAAAAAATTAAAGTCTCTTATCAATATCTAAGATAGTTCAAGAAATAAGCAACTGCTTCTAAGCAATGTTATTGAAATAATTTTCTTATTGAACTCATACCAATATCTGTGTAAAATAAATAAAAGATGCAAGTCTACATATTAGTGGATATAAAAATAAAAATGATTCTTATAAATACATAGATAGTCTTATCACTTGTGAGAATCATTTTGATCTTACTTAAACTAAGCTAATTATTAATAAGGAAAAGTATTAAACTTTCATAGCCAAACAATTCTGTTAACATGATTGTTGATAATTATCATTTTTATATTGAACCATGGTGGACCAGAGTTAGGCTTCTTATGTATGAAGGTGAGGGTTGATTCATTCGAATCCTGGCAAGTACCAATGTGACTTAATAAACTTACTTTCAAAATCATTTAAACACTATTGACATATGGTGAAGAGAAACATCGTGAGGAAATCTGGTCTTATAATATTCGCCTTGAGCGGGTGATTAATGCTGAAAATTTGTATTGCATTACTGCTGCTGTGACCTTTACTCAGACAGCAGTTAAGTAGTAAAGGTAGCGTCAGACTCTTACTGACTAAACATCACCAGGTGCCTTCTGCTCTGCAATCTGCGGCCCCTCTATGCCACAAATTTTTAACGATTGGTGCGGTGGCTGGATAACTTGCTGCCGTGCAAAGTGTCGCGGGTTCGATTCCCGCACGGAACAACTCTTTGTGTGATCCATAAATTGTGGTCTGTAACCGCACCCACGACACAGGAGAAAATATTAGTGTGGGACAACGTTATTAAAAAAAAGCCATTCATAATCGGATCAACTATTACAGCACCAAGTTATCAACGTACATGTCAAGTTGTGGCCATCTTCCGACCCAGTACAGTATAATGGAGACGCTCCTACGATGGCTACTGCCTCGTCAGGACCGCACCCTGAGAATCACGTCGGCTGCCAAGTGGTTCCCTTCACCAATGTATGCTGAGAGCGACGTAGACATCTTCTTGGAACGACCTTGGGTTAATTTCTTTCAGGTTTGCATGTGTTTTTGATTATTACGGGTTTAACAACTGTGTCGTTATAATGAGATTTTTCTTGTTTTATGTATAGGGGCTGATTGTATATAAAAAAGAAAGTTTTTATGTAATTTTTTATGGAATACAGCGGCAAGCGAGCATACCCAACATCTGAAACTGCGAAATTCGCAACACCTGATTTTTTAAGAGAATAAGGGCGTTTTTGACGTTTCGGGTATTTGGGATTGTGAGGATAGGGTAGGTATGGGGTGAGAATTTCACCTCTGTTAACAACAATGTGGTTGTTCCACACCAGTTTTATGTGAGGCTGTGGTAACACTGGCCAAGCCGGCCGATTCGTTCCCAACATGTTTTTTGTGGTAGGTTTGCTGGCAAACGGCTGACGGATTACCTGATGGTAAGCAATCAACGCCGCCCACAACACCAGAGGAGGCACGAGGACATTACTGGCTATTCGGGATAACGGCTTCGGAGATCAAAGATTAAGAGGAATATAACTATACCACGCGACGTGGTAGCATAATAAATTCCTAGTCAATATTTTTTCAAACAATACATAAACTACCTTACTTAATTTAGCATTTTATTCGTATGTTCATAAGGTTGATAATACGTTTCAATATACCTACATATAATAATACAATTTATTCCAGGACGCGAGAGACTTCTTGAACGCTCACAACCAAAGATACGATTATACAACATCAGTTTTATGCAGAAAGTTCACTGTCGGCAAAATTGTCATCATTTCTGTAAGTACCTTTAATATTCTAGTCGTCATCGTCAGCATGATCTCTACTGGTGAAATAAAGTCTTTATAGACTGGGCTTACTGTTAGTCATTAGGTAAGAATTCTTTATTTTCAGTCATGCCTAGGCAATACGGTCGCGGGATTAACAACTATGTAGTCAAATGCAGTTTTCTTAATATTTTTTATGAGATACAGACTCGGGTTGTCATCATATTATGCGTCAAATGCTAATCTTATTTCTAAAATGTATTAGGTAATTGAATAATCAAATAAGTACCTATGTCGTCAAATTGACAAGTGCATGCTTGGCGCGGTGGCTGGTCAAATCGGGCAGCTACCGCGCCAAGAATCGCGGCAGCTCGGAAGAACTCTTTGTGTTATCCACAAATAGTGGTTTCGGGTCTAGGAGTGACGAAATCACGATTGTGTTAAATTGTATGTTTGGAAACGCATCCACGACACAAGTATGTAAAATTCAAAATCCAACTTAAAAAAATAGCTATGACTGTAAGTAGGTATATCATTGTTGTGGTATTGCATTGAAATGTTCCAAATAATTTCACTCGCCGACATCCTTGTTCAACGAGAGTCATCATATTATCATGTTAACTGGGTGTGACGTAATTTCAGTAAAGTAATTTCGTGCTAAATGTTATGAGTCCCCAACGCTGATACTGATAATAGGATCGATGTACCACGGGCTGACTCACTGTCAATAATGATTCACAGGTCTCTTCAGACTGCATTGTTTGCATACTGTAGGTTAAACTGTTTAGGAACAGGATATTTTGGGTTTTGGCTTTTGACGGACAGATAGGTGTAGTTTACACCTATGTAGGTACTGTAATGTTTGCATATTAATAAATGATTTATGTCGAAATTTAAAGTACGTTGTTTTTTTTTTAAACTCTGCTTCACACAAGTATTGTGTCGTTGATGCGTTTACAAATATACAAATTCATGTACACAAGCCACCCGAAACAACAATTTGTGAATCACACAAAGTATTGTTCCGTGAGGGTATCGAATCCGCGGCACGTTGTACAGCCATTTGCCCAGCCTCTGTGCCAACCGTGCAGTGTCCCACAGTGTATGGCAGTCGCATTAAAAAAAAACATTTCACAACATAGACCTCCTCCAATGAGTTCCAAGTTGACAGGTTGGAGGAGACCTGCATCTGCATCCATCTGTTTGTTCTCGAGCGTACGACTCGTAGCGATCCGCGCGCGCCTCAAAGAGCCAATAGACCACCACAGTCGGGGCCCTATAGGGCTGATGTTCAGCCGGGGTTGCGGGGTAAGCGCAATGAGGCACCGCGACCTCAGCCCAGAGCAGGAGAAGGAACAGGGGGGTTTTTAGTCAGTAAGAGTCTGACACTCCCTCCCGCCCGGCCCTGGGCGGGAGATCCCATTTAATGATTTTACCCTTACAAAAAAAAATCTGTTTATTGGGATATGTTTGCCAACGAGCCCACTCATCGCCTGATGATGACCTGACACCGGCGTTGGAGGCCTTGTAGGGTATTTGAGGGTTGGGAAAATTGACGACTGGGTGGGGAGGAGGCAAGGTTCGGGCCTATAGTAACCTCACTCACACAGTGAAACACAACACAAATGCTGTGTCAGGCTTATTTCCTGTGAAGCAGTGGTATCACTCTAGTCAAACAGACCCATTCGTGCTGAAGCATGGCTCTCCCACACTTACAAGCTTACTCGCAGACAACTATTACTATTTCTTGTTTTTTTTTTTCAGGGTACTGAACGCCAAGAATCGTGGTTGGACATCAATTTAGTCAGTAAATGTGTATCAGTATTGTTGGACCCGCGGGTTTTGGAGACCTTCGGCTCGACCAACCACAAGTCCTTTGAAACCCTCGTCGTTACTCAGCAGAATACTGAAAGCGCTAAATTACATAAGTAAGTAGTAGGTATATACTTAGTTCTTGTTCATTTTCTCCATTCGGATCTAAATTTTGGAACGAGCACATAGTATCCAAATTAGAAATGAGCTTACGGTGCATCCCTTGCGCTTCAAAGAGCTAAAAGATCACCATAGATGGGGTCAAAAAGGGCTGATTTTCAGCCGGTGTTGCGGGTCTAGCGCTGTACTATCGCAGCCCCCGCCTACAACAAGAGAAGAAACGGCTTTTAGTCAGTAAGAGTCTGGCCCCCCTTTTTGGCCTCACTCAAGGCGAAATAACACATTTGTAGATTTTACTCTTTAAAAAAAGCCATTGCTTTTCTATCTCAATTCCTAACTAACTAATGTAATAAATATTATCAGAAATTGTTATCAATTTTAAAATACTTAGCACTAGCAAAAATCGGTATTGACTTCCAAATATGGAAACGGCCGAACGTATGACTAATGACAACCGAAAAATACTACAAAATTAGAGCTATCGAAATGAATTTACGCATCATTTTACGTTTTCCAAGAACGATATCGTATCTAAAGTAGGTGTCGAAGTTTTCCCTTTTCCGATCTGTTCTGATCGCAACATCGATAGAGTGATAAGTCATTTGGAACATAAGCTATGTTTTACGCAGATAAAGGCGTGACTCACAATTCATATCGCGTTTCCAATATCGCCTTATCAGACCCAGGCACTCGAGTTATTGTTGTTATCTGTCTATTTTTGTTTTACGAAACATCTGTGCAAAAGTTTCCTGTTTTAGTACCATCTGGAATTATAATAAAAATGAGCTGTTTTTGCGCGGAACTGTGTGAGTCATTTGACTTAAATATAACTTATTGTTTTTCAGATATTTGTTTGTACGTAAACGTGATATAATATTGAGTATTTTAGGCGACGAAGGTCTTTTATTTATCCCTCTAAGCTATACCCGTGGTATACTTAACACCGGTTTTAATTCTTTCAATATGAATTTCCGATAAACTCATTTGGCACATAGTTCTTATAAAGTACGTTCTATATTCAAGTTCTTAGTACATTGTAGCTATCCAAAGATTTCAAATCAGGATTAGCTAGTAGCTATTTGCTTTTTCTTTGAGTGAGGAAAATAATTAAACTACTTCTGTCAGCTTGGGTCCGAGTACAAGGTCCACTTCAACAGCATCAGACTCTTACTGACTAAAAACCAGTACACATCTTTGTTAGGTACGTGTATAAAAAATAAAATAAATGTTCTTGCTAAAATTTCGAGCAATGCTTGCTATTTGAGCGTCCACATTCGCTTTAAGGTCCTGAGAGTACCTAAGTACTAGTTTTCTTTACGTTAAGGCGATCGAAACTGGCATGATCATTACTCAACAAATATATTGTAAAACGGTGAAATAATATCAAATACAGAATTAAAATCATGCCGTAACGCATTCCTGCTATTGGGATAAGGAAAGGAGTGCAAAATTCACATTATACTGGTATACATATTGGTACTTCCGCGAGGTTTCTTCGGGGGCATGACTTTTTTTTTATGTAGGTAATAATTCGGCAAACGAGCAGACGGATTACCTGATAGTAAGCAATCAGCGCCGCCCATGGACACCCACAACGGAGGAGTTACGAGTGCGTTGCCGACCTTTTAAGGATTAGGGATTTGGAGACTCAGGGATTGAGGAGGGATTGGGAGAGGTGAAGGATTGGGCCTCCGGTAATCTCACTCACACAACGAAACACAACTGTTGTTTCACGCCGGTTTTCTGTGAGGCCGTGGTATCACTCCAGTCGAGCCGACACATTCGTGCCGAAGCATGGCTCTCCCACACTTATTGAAGAGTGATGTATAATAAATTCTTCCATCGATAAATTTAGTTATCCGTCTAAAGAAAACGGTCCGAGTCAAATAAGTAGTTCCAGGGACAGTCGCGTTCAAACAAACAAACTTCAGATTTATGATGTACTAGCGACCCTCCGGCTTCGAGATACTGACTTCAGCAATGCTCATACTAAATTCCCCCGCTATTTAATATATGTTATTACACCTTTGAACTCGTCTCTTCAATCAGTCTAACTTATCTATTAAAAAACCGTATTGAAATCCGATGCGCAGTTTCAAAGATTTAAGCATACATAGGGATTTAGGGACAGAGAAAGCTACTTTGTTTTACACTATGTAATTTGTATAATAATTTAGGTTAGTTTTGGTAGACTAGCTGCTGGCTGCTTCGCACGGGTATTCGACTACCCCGGTGTCAGTAATTTGCTTTGCAAGCGAACTGCCATGGCGCCGAAGGGGTTGTTGATTCCCACTATTCCCCTTTACTTTTCTAAAGTTTTCTTTCGTAAGAACCTTCTCCTAACAATAACGAAAATAACATAAAAAGAATTGGCAAAGTTGGTCCATGCGTTATTGAATTATGCGCTTACAAAAAACTGCTTAAAACTTTCCCTGGACTTCCACGAATAATTCAAGACCAAAATTAGCCAAAGCGGTAATGGCATTGTGAGTTATAACATTACAACGGAAAGTGGCATTGGTTTTTATATATCTCTACTAATGTTATAAAGGAGTAAAATTTGTAAGTTTGTATGAAGGTAGGGGGTAATCTTTGGAACCGCTGGTCGGATTGCCAAAATTCTTTCACTGATTACTGATAGCTACAATGTTCCTGAGTGCTATAGGCTAAAAAACATAACGCTACTATCAAATGGAGCAGAACAGCGGGTGAAACCGCAGTAGAGTAGTTATAGATATAGATATATTATTTACCTAAGTACCTACTTAAAGTTACTACGTTTATAAAACTTTCGATACGTATATTTACTTAAAAAATAATTGTCATTCCTTCAGGGAATCTGCCCACCTGCTTCTTTCAATACGCACGACCACTCCGCCCCAAGTCCTACCGTCAAACGTACACCTGGGTGATGACGTCAGCTGTGACGTCACAGCCGTTCTGACGACCCGTTGTGACGTCACGAGGCTGAACGACGCACTGAGAAAGTTGTTCGAAGATAAATATGAGGTAATTGTTTTCTTAGTTGTATTTTGTGTCCTGGATCTTGCGGTGGTCATCATATTATAAACTATATACTCCCGTATATATTTTTTATATAATAGGTCGGCCAACGAGTAGAAGTATTCCCTGATGGTAAGTAATCAGCGCCGCCCATGGACACCCGCAATAACATAGGAGTTACGAGTGCGTTGCCGACCTTCTGGGGATTAGGGATTTAGCGATTTAAGAATTGGGAAAAACCTGATTGGTGGTGGCATAATTACTTGAAAAATTTTTTTTTTGGTTGTAGGTAATTCGCTCGTTAATCCACTTGTACCTAACTTTAGTTTTAGGTATTCCGTCTACTCATTTGCCGACCTGCTATCTCATTACATAAAATCTATTTTAAACACAGATAATTTCGCGTTTATTTTGAGTGCTTACTTATTATTTGTTATACGCACGTAATTAAGATAATAGGTACCTTATGTATTATTTTTGCCAAAATCTAAGAATAAGCAATGATTCACATTTTGTTTATACCTATTGTACTGATATTATGAGGAAATTTGATTAAGGTATTATCGAGATCGATTGTACGGCCCAGGTGTGATATTTTTAGTATTTTTTTGCAATAATTTCCTCGTCACTATCTTGTATTGTTTGATGTTCTTGTTGTTTTTAGATTGAACTTAATAGGTACCTTTACAATTGCTCACTAAAGATATAATTTTTCAATTAACTCCATACTACAGCTCTATCTGAATACTAGGTCGGCGAGGTAGCTGGGCAACTGAGCGCCAAGCGCACGCTATAAGTAGGTGGTACCCTCTGCTAAGCAAAGGCCTCTTTCACACGGAGAAAGATTGAGTATGAATCAATACGTTTGCTCAGGACGGATTGGCGATTTCAAACTTAGTATAATTAGAAAACCTAAGTCCAGGTTCCACATGGTATTTTCCTTCACCGTATGTCCTATACAGTCATCTAAATAATCATAGAAAGTACATGTAACTCGGAAAAAGTCACATTGGTACCGTTTGGAGATCGTAAATTAATATTATTACATTAGGATATAGAAATTTCGTATTGTATTTCAGTTACTATTGGATCTAGAAAAGGAATTGGAACTGTCGCCAGTGAAAAGAACGGAAAAACCAAAACAATCTAAAGAAACGGTAAGTTGAGTACAAAATGTCCAGTGTCTTAACAGATTATTTATTGTTATTGAAATCACTAGGAGTGTTTAGGGATTTCTTAAAAAAAATCTGTCTTATTATAATTATTAAATGTCTTAGAACAAGACTTGTGAACTGTAACAATCACTCCTAAGTTTTTTTTTCGTGCATGCTTAAAGTTTTAGGTACCTATATATAGCTATAAGAGGAAACATTTAGACACGTTTTAAGTAAGACGTGCCTTAAGGTCTAAAATTCATTTTCAAATAGCATTTTTTTTATTGAGATTCGTCGTTAATTCCATATGATTACTACTACTACTGATTTATTACCTTTTTGACGACTGTCATAAGTAAAAGTTAATGTAAATGTGGGTAGTTGAAAAATATTAAAAGTTGACAATTGCTTTAGGACGAAGATCAGAGGTTCTCGCATCCAGTTGAAACGAGAAGACGCAAACATTCAGGTAAGTTTTGATTAAACTTAATTACTATTGAATCTATTGATAAATATATGTGTATATTAAAAAAATATTTGATACAAATTATTAGATTGATTCGTACCAGTGTGGGGTTAATATAACATGTTTCTAAATATACAAAAGTTTTTGAATTAATTTTAAAGTACACCACAATAACTTTCTTGTTTTTTCTTGAAATAAATCGTGGCCTTATTTGACTCCTACTACTAAACTACTACTACACCGTTACTCCGCCCTGGGTAGGGCGCGATGAAGTGTCTTACTCTTACTGACACTGAAACAGTAATAATAATCAAGGGACGATCTCCGGCCACCGTAAGCGCGGGTCTGCGGTCGGCGAGTAAGGCTAGCTCGCCGCCCGACCAGAACCAGGCCCGAGCGTACGGCGCGTAGCGTTCCGCTCGCGCCTCTAAGAGCCAATAGACCACCACAGACGGGGCCCTAAAGGGCTGATGTTCAGCCGGGGTTGCGGGGTAAGCGCAATGAAGTACCGCGACCTCGGCCCAGAGCAGGAGAAGGAACAGGGGGGTTTTTAGTCAGTAAGAGTCTGACACTCCCTCCCACCCGGCCCTGGGCGAGAGAAGTCATTTGATGATTTTCCCCTCACAAAAAAACCTGTTATAATAATAATAAAAAAATATTTCTTAGCTGAAGTTACCAAAAAAAGTGCTTCCGTTTGCACAGGTTACATAGTGAAGCCGCGGCAACCTCTTTCTTGCATGTCTCCTTCTACAGCTTCAACCAGCTCGTTGGCACAGGTCAGTGATTCTGTCATTAATTTGCAAGTAATCTAGATTAGAATGTCATTCGTGATACCTTTGATGGTTGTAGGTGAAGTTAAGCTGCGGTACCCGCTTACCATTAGACGGGCCGTAAGTTTTGTTGCTAGAAAAATATTTCTATAGGTTCTTAATATCGATTTTTTAAATATTTTGATGAATATTCTATCTTAACTCAAAAGAACTTGTAATTTGGATGAGATACATTAAAGTATAGACAGATAAATGCCGATAAATAGCTGTACATAATTATTGTTATTGTTTTGTTTTATACCACATAGCATTTGGGTAGAAACAATAAATGAGTAACAAAGGCTGTAAGGTTCTGTTAATTAGTAACTCCTAGTTCAATACGTTCCTTGTTGGTACTCATAAATAGTAACCTAAGAAAACTCATCCATTAGGTGCAATATATATGCAGGTTAACGCCAATATCAGTTTGTCTATAGTTTCATTACGCATATAATCCTTTTCCAGCTCCACGAAAAACTAGCAGCGTTACCTAGATACAAATACGATAAAGAGCCCGTGAGTGTCTGCGCTCCTCCAGACCTGTCCATTGTCACTGAAGTCAGTGAAGCTGACGACAGGCAAAGCCTCAACACAACATTCAAAAGCAAACCTTACGGTGTTTGCTATAAAAACCTAAATACACTAGACAACAGAAAATCCCAAAGCGACCCAGAATCTTCTAGAAAACATCGCAGAGGCAGAAGATTATCTCCTATTATTAACGAAGATACGACCAGTTGTTTGTTAGTTGCAACTGTCGGATCAGCTGACGATTCAGTGATAAATGATACCGTTGAACGCCTGTCAAAATCTAAAGATTATAATCCCGATAATATCGTTGATTTGTTAGTCCAAGAGGCTTTACAAGCGAAGCAAGATGATAAGTATAGATCTGATAGTGGAATAAACACTGGAGATAAGAAATCTCAAGACCCTCATGAAAATACGGACACTATCGATGGAACGCCAGAAATTGATCAAATAAAACTGAAAAAGACGAAGCCTAAAGTCATTTCTTCCACATCTGATGAGTCAAATACAGAAGCTATAAGTGAAACACCATGTTTTGTCAACACGCGAAAGAAAAATAAAAAAGAGACGAAAGATTCAGCCAATAAGAATTCATTTAATGAACAAGTGGTAGAAGAATTCTTTTCACAGCATGTCGCAGAGAATAAAGCTGGCGAAATTGTTATAAGCCCTACATTAGCCAAGAAAATTAATGAAACTAGTTCCGAATCTAGTGATGATTTTGGCGATAATTTCAATTTAATAAATGAAGACCTTGAGAAAGATATTGTTCCATTTGACTTTGATAATATAGAAGTATTGGAATGTCTGAATAATATGGTAGATAGGGTCTGTGATGAATTTGAGAAATGCACTGAGTATTTGGATAAAGATGAGGGCATTGCAGTAGATTTGAATGACACTGTGGAAGAAGATTTACCTTTAAAAGATATAATAAATAAAATACACAACATTGAGTCTACAAAAGCTGTTACTGCAGATAAATCCAGAAAGAAAACCAAATTGAAATATAAGATCACCCCTAAAAAGGCTAAAGCTCGAGCTTCTAGACGGAAGAATAAACTTGAACTGGAGTCTACATCTAAAATGTCTACTATAATTGAAGATCAGGGTTTAGAGAGTGCAGCTGAAAACGTTGATAAGGAAGAAGAAACAATTAAGAGACCTGAAGAAGATGTAGAAGTACACGAAGTTAAACAAGATGATTCTACTAATAAAGTGGACACAGAAACACCGATAACGCGAAGAAAACGTAAACTGTATTCGCCAAAAAATGAAGAAGTTGCTACAAAGCTAACACAACATCCTGAAAGTCCAATTACGTTGGAACAAAATAAAGTAGAGAAGACGCCTAAGATGACCGCTACTGCTACGTGCTATAAAGAAATTGAGAAAGAACGTAAAAGGCACGTGAGGATGCGAAAGTCAAGAAAATCTAAGGTTTCTGAACCACCGTCACCTAGAACTAAAAAATTAAACGATATGTTTGACAAAGTAAAAGAATCAGCAGACAGCGAAAAAGTCAAGTTAGCTGACAAAACTTTCGAAAAAGACGTATACAATTTTACCAGTGATAGCGAAGATGATTTTAAAGTTAAAAAGATAGAAATAACTAAAAGAAACAGCACCACAACTATTGGAAGTTTTGAATCTACGCTTTCAAAACGCGGACGCGCTGTCAAACGTATTAATTACACAGATAATAAGTCCTCAGATGAAAGTAATAAGACTAAACGGAAGTTTACTAGAAAGACACGAAGTAAGAAGAGAGTCAATGTCGAGCAAAATGATTTGATTGATGAAAGAATGAGGAAAGCTAAAGATGTACTCAATACATCAATATTGGTTGAAAAATCTGAGCAAACATCAACCAATCCTATTTTAAATCTGGATAAAGCAATAGAAATGGAAATTATCGAAGAAAAACATGGTAATTCGGGAAGTAATCAGAAAAAAAAGGGAAAGAAACCAAAAGGTGAAACCTCGGAGTCGAAACGTTCTAAGAAAGTATTGAATAAGGCTGTCGTAGAAAAAGTTAGGAACTTTGATGATGATAATAGAACAGAAAGTCCTTTACCAGGCCTTCTTGTAGAACCAGCCACCACAATGAATGATGATACCAATGAAATATCTACAATGGCCGATAAATTTAAAAAGATCTATCAGGAAGGTCCAGAAAATTATATAAACGAGACTAATACTACGCAAAATTTGCTCTCAGACGTTGAAAGACTACGAAATGAGGATATAACTGATGAGTACATTGAAATTGATGACCAATTCCAAGGTAAAGAAATTGAGATAAAACTAAAGAAAAATGTGTCTAAGAAGAAGAAAATGAGTCCTACGTTAATTAGAAATATTAAGAAAGAGAGAATATCAGAGGCAAGAGAAAACAAAGAAAATGTCGAAGTAATTAATATATTAGAGGAAACTGAGGATAAATCGGAAAGATCTATAGCGACAATCGGTATTACGGGGCACGGAGAGCTGGACGAAGAACCACCCAGTCCAAAACTTATAAACGAGAGACTAGAGCCACGGAATTTAGAAGTAGAAGACTTAAACAACTCTATGAAAGATTACTTCGACAAACTCACTAAAGAAATGAACGAATCTAACAATAGAATCTCTAACGTTTCGAACGAAGAGGATGTTTGTAAAACTAGTGTGAAAACCAAGAGTAGTGGTAGTGTTAAGAGCAAATCTCCTGTACTATCTATTAAGAGAATGTCTTCCGAAGATATCAGTCGATGGTTACCTTCAAGACGCAATTCTGATTCAGATGACTCTTACTCTGATACCAAATCTAACAAAAATGCAAATGAAGAAACCGCTGTAGCGATTATTGAGAGTCGAAGAGGAGATGATGATGATATTGATAATGAGATCGCAGAAGTCAATACAAAGAGACAATCAATGAGATTAATTTTCAAAAACTCACAACCGGTTAAAATTAGCGACAGTGCGGAAATTAAGGATGATTCTGATTCGGAGAACGAACACGAGACGCCAAAACGGAGTGGTAGACTTAAGGCTAAATCGAGACTACAAGAATCTACAAAAAAACCTAAATCTCTAGATAAGCCAGTTACAAAAGTTAAAACTAAACACACATCATTAATATCCCCGATAAAGCTCTTCGATGAATTAATAAGTACTGCGGATAAACAGTCAGAAATTACTCTCTCCGACGACGAAGATTATATGAAAGAAATAATAACTACATTGGCTGAGAAAAAGAAAACAAATGTTCCTAGTACTAAACCTCAAAAACCTAAAGCTAAATCAATAAGTCCAGTTTCAAGTCAATCGAAGATAAGTACGTCTACTAAAATAGAAGATTCTAGAAAAAGGAGATTGGAGGCAGAAAGAGTTGATTTATTGAAGAAAAGAAAGATAGAAATGAATAATAATGTAGAATTACTATCGAGTGGAGTGACGGTGTCTAGCGTTGATGAATGGTTCAAGAGGATCGAACCGGAGGGTAGCAGAGGTGAGTGATCAATTGTTTTTTAGAAAGATTCACATTCTTGCCTATTAAACCTTATTTCAAGGAATAATAGGCAGAGATTTCAAGTTATGTTACGTAGGCAGTAAGGCAAAGATTGTAAGGCCTAGCAAACAGGCCTTCTGTACATTGCATAAATCCTGGCTCAAAGCTATTTGAGAAAATTTCTAAAATCGAATAATTGCAGCCGCCTGAACCTTGCTCTGTAATCATACTTGCGACAAAGCTCCAGCCATTGGATATCAAAATTACTATGACATCGTCACCTAGGGATAGGATTGATTAGTAGCATGGAATTTAGTTTTAAATCTGCGAGAGTCTATTAGAATTGGCCGGCTAGACCAAAGTCAGCACGTTTGCGTTGTGTGAGTAAAGTTATCGCAGACCCTTTCACCACCCTTTCGCCACACTATGCCATCAAAAGAGATGTAGATACTCCTTATATGTGATCGGTTGGCAAACGACCATACGACTTACCTGATGGTAAGCAATCGTCGCGGCCCATGGACAACGGAGGAGTTTCGAGTGCGATGCCGACCTTTTGGGGATTAGGATTTGGAGATTTTGGGATTGGGGAGGGGAATTGGGTATTCAATGACTTTGACATGAATGCTAAGTAAATAATTATGATTTTCCAGCTGAAATGATAAATTCGTCGATGAGGAATAGCTTGCAGGATGTGTTAGAGAGATTGGATACCACCCTTGTTGAGATACACAGGAATACCAGTAAGAAGTAAGTAAAGTATCTTTTGTTATTAATTATTTGTGCGATCCACAAATTGTTGTTCCGGGTGTAGGATCATAGAATTTGAAACTATATTTACACAATTATGCATTCCCGACACAAGAAAGTCCTACTGTAGGGAAAAAAATACCTAAAGTTTGAATATTACAGTGAATACCAATAAATAGAGGTGCTAGTTAATAATGACTTATAAAACTCATCCAACCAAAATATCATACCTATAACTGTTTTGCATCACTACTACACAAATGCTTATATCTAACAGTCGATCCTTTGAGTTCAAACTACTACTAGTTGAAATCCAGAAAAGAACATAACTTTTACAATCAATAATATTATACTTCCCTCAAGAAGAACCTCACCTAGGGTGAGTCTAGTCTGACGGAGTGTCACTCTTACTGACAAAAACCCCCCTTTTCCTTCTCCTGCTCTATGCCGAGGCCGCGGTATCTTATAGCGCTTTACCCACAACCCCGGCTAACCATCGGCCCTGTTGAGCGCCATCTGTTCTGGTCAATTAACTGGCCCTTTAAAGGGACGCTCGGGTCTGGTTCTGGCAACGTACTTATACATGGGTTATATTTTGTTTTCAGATTCGTGCACCTATTCGTGAATGCTCAGCAGCAGTTGCATGCACTAAAGGAACGCCGACAGAGCATGTACAAGCAGCTGGCGTCCGATATACTCAGCGAAGTCGTCAAGATTATGGATGCAAAGTTTGCTGATCTAGATGAAAGGTGAGATCAATTAATGTTGGTCTGAACTGCGAGGAATGGGCCTGGGTATATATGTATATCCTTTAAAAGGCTGTCACAATGGGCGAGCCGATGAAAGCCGCGTCAAGAATCTGACGTAATAAATTTTAAGTGTATCGATCATGATGTAATGGGTTTTTCTACTTTATGGTATCGATCGATCGATATGCAAACATTTATTTTCTTTACAATATGTAAAAATAAAAAATTTGACTACCTACTACAGTCATCAGTTGGATTCTGCCAGAACGCCTCAAAAGACACCAAGACTACACATGTACATGATCAGAAGTCCCTTTGAGCTCTTATTAGGCTTAAATTATCTAATTATTAAAATTATTAAATTATACATTTACAATTATAGTCATATTTTTCCCTAGATCACAAGAACTGGACGGCAATTTCATGAAACAACTCAAGGAGCAGGCTTCAGAGTTGATTAGAGAAGATTGCAAGCAAAAACGAGTGATGGTTCGTCTGCTGAAGGAAGATGTTCAAGCTGTCGTCGACCACTTGGAGAAGCAGGCTCTCTGACTTCAAAAATAGGTAAGACTATATAAAAAAAAGAAATTATAAGTTAAGATGGTAATGAGCCGACTTATTGCCTGATAGGAAGCAATCGGCGCTGCTTATGGGCAATAGTAAACCATTGGGATTAAGTATAGTTATGTTTGGCCTTCGGTGACGACACTCAGTCAGCGCGAAAATGATGTTCCCGCCGTGTTTTTTAATGGAGGCAAACGAGCTATCGGATCACCTGATGGTAAGTGATCAGCGTCGCCCATGGATACTTGCAACGTCACAGGCGCATATCCGGCCTTTTTTAAGACCTTACACCCGTTTTGTGAAGATTTGAAGGTCGTATCGGTTCGGTGAGTGATTTTCTGTGAGTATATGGTGACCAAGCCAAGCCAATTCAAGTCAGCAATTCTGACTTAACAGACTTGTAGACCTCTAGACCGATTAGTGACTTTATTTTAACTTTATCACAAACAGTTAAATATGAATTTCACTAACAAGCGTTTGACATATTAGGTTAAATTGATAAGGCTGGCGTCGCACCTGTATTATTGTTATTGAGTCACACATACGTGATGAATAATATCTAAGTACAATAACAGATACATAGATTAGATTGATACATAATACTTTCTGAGAATACGAAAGTGCAAAACTGCTTTACTCGGGTTTCGATAGGTGATAATGTTTCGTGCGTCTTTGTTATGTAATATTTATGTGTCACGATGTGTCCTTATGTTTAGTAGGTAATTTTTTGTCTAACTCCAAAAGGGAAGGGCTGTGATAATCATAATTTATTTGTGATTTCCGATTGTAATGAAACTTGGTAGGTAATCATAGGTACGCAATATGAAGGCCTTTTTTTGAGGAGGGAAAATAGTCCAATGTCTTCTCTCGCCTGGGGTATGGCGAGAGAGAGTGTCAGACTGACTAAAAACGCTCCGGTTCTCTCTACTACTCCAGGCCGAGGCCGCGGTACCTAATTGCGTTATACGAAGGCCTAAAAACCAAATTGTACCTAATTAAGTACAATTTAGTGTGTGTAATCAACATTATGTACTTACATAATTAGTATCTCTTACTCGTATGATTTGATGTCATCGGTTTTTCTTATCATTTTGATGTAGAAATGACTAATGTTCTTTGTTATAATAGCTTCTATTTTAGTAAGAATCGACCGTATAGGTACTACATTATATTTTGACCGGAACTGCTTATCCGTGTCATAGGAAGTGGAGACCGGGAAAAAGATTATGTAGGTACTCACAATAATTACTATAAGGTTGACGCATTTTTTTTTCTTTTTTCAGAAAAAGAAGTTGATGATAAGTGGCCGGCCCATCATTGAACATGCTAATAAAATTTGTATAATTTACTTCATTGTAAATGTATAGGTAATATTTTAGAATTGTTGTAAGTACCTATGAATTTCCTTTAAAACAATGATCTGAATTTTATATGCAACAATAATAATTAGTTTATATTACACTATGTTTGCAATTTGGTAGCAGGATAAAATAGCCTAATGATATTTTTTCAAACACTCCTTAGATAAAAAGGATGATAACTATGTCTATTATTTCCACGAATAAACTTATTACAGTTTTACATTATCAAAAATAAGTATATTCACATTAACTGATTTAGAAGCTTTTCAAACAAACAGCAATTAAGTAGTATGATATCACGATTTAGTCCTCTCATGCAAAATACACAGGAATTCTTCAAAATCTTTGAAAAATAAACTTGTATTGAATTAGTGTAAACAGTAATCCTGGATAGCTCAATATGGGTGATACATCTTGTTTGAATTGGGACTATTGTATGAAAGTTGCACTCTCCAAATGTCCGCTGTTATTTTATTCTTACATATTAAATTTATGTTGTAATTTGTTAATTTTATTAAATGTTTAATAATTCTGTTAATGTTAAAGTATCACCAATGGTGATTGTTAAATTAGTTTTTATTTTTAAGCAATTCATATCAAATAAGGTATGCAGTTTTCAGTTGTAATACTTTTTTTTTAAATAAATAATACAATTTTTTAAATGTTTGCCTTTTATTAAAATAATAACTTAATTATACATCTAAATAACAACCAAAATTATCACTTAATTATTTAAGATATTCAGGTATTTTATTGATTAAAATAGTGATAGGTAATAGTGAATATATGTAGGTACTTATCTGGTAGGTATGTATTTTAAATAGTAAATAGACAATGGATACACACAATTCATAAAAAATTGTAACATAAATACCAGATTCCTTCTGATGCTCTAAGCGCGGGTTATGGTACATTATTGCGCTTGCACCCGCAACCAGGAAAACATGGTGCTTTCAAACGCAAGTAAAGTTACTTTTACAAGAAATTAAATAGTTAACTTAGGTATTCTATAAAAAGGGTTAAAATGAGAAGAATTTCGAAATTCAAACACATCATAATTTTCTTGATTGGGTTACACTTAAATAAATTTGCTGGATATTATTATTTAGGTATATAAAATGTTAAATATGTACTTATATTTACAACTACAAAGAATATGGTATGTCGTATATGTATAAGGAGGCTTGCCTGAGGCTTAAGGAAGTTACTCCTTATTTACATAATATATTATTGTAAAAAACAACTAGAGATGATTTCACTGAGCTACAAAGATTATATTATATACAATATGCTTTATGCAAGTATGTTACTGTATTTTCAAAAAGGTTTTTATGTTTTTTGGCATGTTATCCAATATTTTTCATTATACTGGTAGTATACCTATTACATATCAATCTGTGAACTTTATAAGTATTGTATTATACATAATTGTGTATAAGAAGCCAAATTATTTTCCAAAATGTGGTACATTAATGTTACACAATCAGGACACAGTAACTTAAAATGCCTAATGGCCTGTTTGGTATTAGGAACTAAAATTGCTGGCTGTGATGTGTGTATATGTACTGAAATTTCAAAAAGCATATTCATAGTGTACATTCGTGAATCATTATTATTACTGTTTGCACTCATAACAATGATTAGCAGCATATATTGATTACGCCACTTATAAAATAGCAATATAATGAAGTCAGATAAAAGATAACAAACTTGCGATTTTTCACAAATAGATAAGTCTATCCAGAGCTCTGTAACTTGAAATTGCTTGTTATGCGGCCTTCAAGGCATCTGATCATTTTTAGGCCATCATGATGTTTTCGTAAATTTATGGACCTTACTTTCCAATCTTGAATAATAATATAATTTTTATCCAGCAATAAAAATAATACTACAATAAAATAAATTTTATATGTAGGTGCCTAAGTTTGTCGCTCCTTCGGTAGGCAAAGACAAAATTTCATACAAGCTTCTTGGATTCCGGTTTTTACTAGTAAATAAGTCATTTTTGATGAGCTTATACACTTTTTTCGTCATTCATGCTAATGAAATGTTAAAAAAAGTATCTTTTATCCAGTTTCTTGATAGTTTCTGCACTGATCACTGAAGTTAAACACTAAACACTATCACTATCACCTATTCATCAGAGTCTGAGTCAGCATCGCACTGAGTGCTGTTGTCGTGGTACTAGGAGTCGTCCTGTGAAGTCGCTACTTGAGCAAGGAACACCTGCTGTTGGGGCTGATGCTGGCCTTGGGATGAGACCTGCGAATTGAGAAGAGATTAATTTTGATCACCTTAAGGCAAGCCATCATATTAAGGCGAATTACATGTGTGTTATCGGCCCATTGCGAGGAGGGATTGGACCTCTGTTACCCTCTCACACATGACGACCAAACGCAAGCGGTGTTTCACGCTGGTTTTAATAAGGCCGACGTTTACTAAGCCAGTTCCTGCAGATACATGGCTCTTCCATGTGTAACTTGTGTAAGTATTAGTATAATGATACTTATTGAATATAGGTAGTTTATGCTTTATTCATTCTGAACTATTTTAAGTGTGGAAGAGCCATGCTTCGGCACGAATGAGTCGGTTCGACCGGAGCGATACCACGGCCCACAGAAAACCGGCATGAAACAAATACAGCGTTGTGTTTCGCCGTATAAGTGAGGTTACCGGAGACCCAATCATTCCCCAATCCAAAATATTCGAATGTCTAATTCGCAAAAGGACTGGTCTCCATGGGCAGCGCTGATTGCTTACCATCAGATACGCAGTTTGTTTGTTTGCCATCCCATCACATAAAAACGTTTTAGTAAATCTAACGGTATTGGCGGTTGTATCATTAGTGTCTAGTGATAACTAGTAGAACTACTAATGAGTAATAATGTTCAGCAATTAAGATCGGTTAAAACAAGAAGCGCTGTAAGTATACTAAAGTTGTAGCGACATTGTCAATTATCCAATGTACTACATATATCGGTAAGGATTCATCAATTTAAGTAGTTACCTGAATAATCTGTGGTGATTGCTGGGACTGTGCCTGTATTATAATGGGCTGGTTAGGGTTATTCTGTACTTGCAGTCGGATCATGTTCAACTGCGCTTGTGTTAGTTGAATCTGGAAATCAAGGAGTTTATAATTGAAAAACGGTAGAGTTGAAGAATGTAGTCTTGTCATTAATGAGTCATTGCCAATCCCACCGAAGTTTGTAGCTGGGAATAAGTTGAGCTAGAGGTTTCAGGTCCAATTCTGGGTACCAATACTTAATAATTGTAAACATTATTATTCTGTAAGTAGTTATGTGTAGCCAATCCTTTCCTCGTATAGTTACCATAAGCAAAGATCACGCCATGCCACCCAGCGGTTCCAAGTAACCACTAGACTTAAGTTCCTAATTGTTAATTCTCATAAAATTAATGTTTGCCAAAACAGTTAGAGAAATGTGATCGACAGATTGCTGTTGCTGGCCAACTGTGAGGTCCAGACACAGACACACACATGTAAAAGCCCTCAAGTAGTATATAAGCTCATGTAACCTAGATTTAAGCGTTCAGATCAGTTCATTGTCATCTTAAAGCTCATGCTGAGCAGACGTGTATTAATTAAATAAATATTTTTTAATATAAATCTTGCGCGCTCTTATTTGACTGGCGCAGCCGGGTCGGATTAGCAAGTCGCGTACAAGTGATCGTTAACTAGACACGCGAATCGGTCGTAACGTAGTCCTCGTCGCATAGGCTTCAATCCGCAAAGAACCTACTAAATAAATTCGTCAAGAAGGCGCAACCTCAGCAGCAGCAGAACCAGAACCGGCATGGGATCGAGCAAACTGTGAGTAGACCCTTGATTCGCATTCTGTTCCATTCCCTGTCTGAACCTTACTAATTACCTACGTTTATTGGACTAGACATTGCCGATATTCGTCTCGTCTATTTATGGACAAAAATCGCCAAATTTAGACAATTGATCAATCGCTGATCTATTTTTAGAATAGTTCTAACAAATTGGACTTACATCGCCATTTTGTTAATTATATTAACGTTAATTATTTGCCTTAAGTTAAATTAATATTGTAAATCTAATAATACCAATATGAATATTCAACTAATACCAAAGGAAATCCAAAGCATCATCCCTAGATTTGATGGTGATGATAAGTTACTAAACCTTTTTATATCGAAATGTGAGTACGTTATTAGAAGTTTTCGAGGGGAAAACAACCCAGCACAACAAACCTATTTATTCCATTGTATAACAAGTAGATTGGTAGGAAAAGCTGCTGTATTAATAAGCGAACGCGAAAATGTTACCACATGGGAGGCATTAAAGGAACTCTTTGTCCAGCATTTCGGTGACCCCAGGTCAGAAGCTTGCTTAAGCATAGAGTTAGAAAACCTCAAGATCAAACAAGGCGAATCTTACATAGACTTTTGCCACCGCATACAAAATGTTAGGAGCTCTCTAATCTCAAAGGTGAATTTAATAACGGACGAAGGAATAAAGGCAGCAAAATATATAATATATAACAACACAGCTTTAAACGTTTTCCTGTACAATTTACCAGAGGATTTAATAAAGTTTGTGAGGTTAAATAAATGTGACAATTTAGAATCCGCATTAGGTATCGTAACAGAGGAAGTCAACTTTCAAACGCGGTATAACTCTCGCAATAAAAATAAAACCAACACTACTAGTGCAAACCCTAGTACACCTAATAATCCTAAACCTAACTTTACAGCACCGACCCAATACAAATTCGGAATTCCAACAAATAACCAAGGCTTTAGGCAGCAACACCCATTTAGACCCAATTTCATACCGAACCCTAACCTGGGTAACCAACGATTTGGTTTCCAACCTCAGGGAGTTAAACCACAGCCACAAAATCCGAATCCAAAACCCGGGATTCCTCATCAATCGCAGCAGCTTCCACAAACACTGAACAATTACAAACAATCAGGCTTCTTTAAACCCGGTAACCAACAATTTCGTTTTGGTATTAATAACCAACCGCCTAGACAAAACGCCGACGTATCTATGAGAACGGTACGAAATAATATGTTAGAAGAACCCATTGAATACGATTTTAACTTCGAGCAAGTTTGCACTTTCGATGAAAATAATGTATTACAGATTTTAGAAAACGATAATAATAATCAATTAAACTGCACGCAAAACGAAACGGAAAATGAAAATTTTCAAATAGAAGCCTCTGTACCAGACCAACAGAAGTAATACACCTCAACTATAGTGGCCTTAGGCTACCACACATCTATTTGCCAGAAATAGAAGCATTCTTTTTAATAGACACGGGTAGCTCGCGATCTTTTATTAACGAAGAACTAGCTGACCAGTACTTTCAGTACTATAAAGACTTTGAACCATTCGAAGTTATCAGTACCCACGGACGTAGTCAGCATAATGAAGTCGCATGCGTTCCTTTAACAGACACATTTAATACAGACACCCATCATAAGTTTTATATATACACCGTAGATCAACAATATAATGGTCTTATAGGCTCAGACTTACTAAAGAAATTAGAAGCTAACATAGATATGAAAAATCAGGTTTTAAGGACAAATACTACAGAAATACCTATTTTATATAACCCATCTTACCAAATAAAAGTACCACCTAGATCGGAAACACGCGTTAAGGTGCCTACTACGTTAGACAACGGCAATGCAATTTTAAATCGCCTCGAATTCTGCCCAGGAGTTCGTATGCCCGATGCGTTAGTTAACTGTGTAGACTCTTTAGCTCAAACAATTATTCAGAACACCACTGATACTGAAATGACTATAACATTTAAAAAACCATTTACTGTATACAATATGCACCAAGATTTACAAGATAGTTGCCTAATAAATAACTTACATGATACCTCAAACTTAAATAGATTATTAGATGAAAACTTAAATAAATTACGCCTTGACCACCTAAATACAGAAGAAAAACATCTAATATCAAACCTGTGTGCAGAATATAAAGATATCTTCCACTGTGAACACGTACCCTTGTCATTTACAAACCAAGTTAAACATAGAATCCGTACAAAAAATGAAGATCCTATTTACATTCGCCCATATAGACACCCAGTTAGCCAAAATCTAGAAATTCAGAAACAAGTCGATAAATTATTAGAAAACAAAGTAATAACGGAATCACACTCACCCTGGAGTGCCCCGGTACACCTAGTTCCAAAAAAAATGGATGCCTCGGGTGAACAAAAATTCCGAATGGTTATTGATTATAGGAGACTTAATGAAATAACAATTGATGATAAATATCCACTGCCCAACATAACAGACTTATTCGACAGACTAGGAAAAGCATCCTACTTTAGTACAATAGACTTAGCTAGTGGCTACCATCAATTGGAGGTAGAAAAGGAGGACCAACCAAAAACAGCATTCACAACCCAATCAGGTCATTACGAGTTTACTCGAATGCCCTTTGGTCTAAAGACAGCACCAGCTACGTTTCAACGAGCTATGGACAATGTGCTCCGCGGACTACAAGGCATACATTGTCTAGTATATTTAGATGACATAATAGTATATTCAACTAGCTTACAAGAACACATAGATAAACTCAGGAAAATATTTGACCGACTTAGAGAGACGAACCTTAAGGTCACGCTAGACAAATGTGAATTTCTAAAGAAAGAAGTTTTATATTTAGGTCACACTATAACAAAAGATGGTCTCAAACCAAATAACGATAAAATTAAAACTGTATTAAATTTCCCTCTGCCTAAAACACCAACGGAAATAAAAAGTTTTCTTGGATTAGTAGGCTATTACCGTAAATTTATTAAAGATTTCTCAAAAATAACACAACCATTAACTAATTGCCTTAAAAAGAAAAATAAAGTAACAATTACTAAAGAATACATAGATGCATTTGAAAAATGTAAAGAATTGCTTACCAATGCACCACTATTACAATTTCCCGATTTCGAAAAACCTTTTCTTTTAACTACAGATGCATCTAACTTCGCATTAGGAGCGGTTTTATCTCAAGGACCTATTGGTAGCGATAGACCAATAGCATTCGCTAGTAGAACGCTTAATGATGCCGAAACGCGCTATAGTGCTATTGAAAAGGAACTATTAGCAGTCGTTTGGGCCTGCAAACATTTTAGGCCTTACCTATACGGTAAGAAGTTCACTATACTAAGTGATCATAGACCACTGGTATGGTTAAACTCAATTAAAGAACCAGGAAGTAGACTCACCAGATGGAGACTTAGGCTTTCTGAATTCGACTACGAAATCAAATACAAACCAGGTAGACAAAACAGCAACGCAGATGCACTATCCAGAATAAAAGTCAATGCATTAGATGACGTGTCAATGATAGTCAATACTAACGATTCGAAAACAATTATCATATCATCAGATGAAAGCGACAATATTACCATTTCATCTAGAGATTCTAAGGCTAGACCTAGATCGCCTTACTCGATACCATCAGTAGGAAGCGAAACAGTCACAGCCTCGGAAAGAGCAGACTCTCCTTCCTTAGCAACAGTCCATTCAGAAGAAAATACCGATTCTTCTGGTATTCCCATATTAAAAGAAGCCATTGATACTAAACCAAATCAGATATTAGTATATACTTGGCATAAAAACGAGTATAGCGTTAAAGATTTATCCCGAGATAAGCAAAAGGTGTTCGAAGTACACTTACCTATCGATGACCCAGATTTAATTAAAGATTATTTAAAAGCTTATATTCGCCCAAAAGTTAAATATTACATTTATTTCGAAGATCAACGTCACCGTCAACAATTTTCAAAAGTAATTACAACCCTATTTAAAAAGGATGCAGTAAACATCTACGAATGTACTGAAAGAGTCGTTTACGTAGAAGATGAAAACGAACAACGAGAAATAGTACTAAAATACCACGTCGGGAAAACATGCCATCGTGGCATCAAAGAAACGGTAGCCCATTTGAAAAGAACATACTATTGGAATAACTTAGAACAAACCGTAGCCAGTATAATCAACTCTTGTGACCTTTGTAAGCAAATGAAGTACGATAGAAAACCATTAAAACCTGAATTACAGTTGACTCAAACACAAAATAGACCTTTTCAAGAAATATTCATAGATATGTTTTCAATAGAAGGAACATATTTCCTTACTATAATAGACGCATTCAGTAAGCTAGGACAAGCATTCGAAGTACCAAATAGATCCACACCAGAAGTTATAAGAGCACTAATAAAATACTTCTCTATATATGGTGTTCCTTTAAAAGTCAGTGCCGACCCAGGATCAGAATTTAATAATAACCTTTTAAAAGAAATGTTAGCTTTTTACAAAATAGATCTTCACATAGGGACGCCACATAACCCAAATTCTATGGGACTGGTAGAAAGATTTCACTCGACTATCATAGAAATTTATAGACTAGCTAAGTATGAGCGGAAGATAACTGACGCCGCATCTGTCATGACTTATGCTATCATGGCTTACAACCAATCTATTCATTCCACTACTGGCTTAACTCCATTTGAAGTAGCCTTCGGACATACCGACGCCTCAAGCGCTTTTGCGGTAGACTTTAATAAATATTACACCCAACAATTAGTAACCGATCATGTTAAGCGTACTAAATATCTATACAATTATCTATCGAATAAAATGTTACAATCCAAAGAAAAGATTAAAGAAAAACGCGGCGGAGAAAAACAATTCGATATAAAGATAGGTGACCAAGTTTATATGAAAGGAGTCAATACTAGACGTAGCAAGGATAAGCCTAGATACCAAAAGGCAACAGTCATAGATGAACTAAATAGGAATACGGTAACAGTTACTAATAAAGCCCGTAGGACAAAGAAAATACCAGTTAAAGACATTAAGCGTCCTTCACAGGTTCGCCCTCGTGATAGCGATGCAAGCGACCCTGAGCCTGGCCCTTCAACTTCAAAGGATTGAAGATAATCCGGGAATTCTTCCCGTTAAAGAAGGACAAGCCTCGCTAAGCCTCTATAATTGGCACATAGTTAAGATCTTAGACTTAGATTTAGTTCATAAGAATTTAGATTACAACATAGGAAAGTATTATGAAATATTTAGTTATATGAAAGAAAAATTAGACATTTACGTTTTAGATGGTAATCTCGTTGATGCTGAGTTGCAAACCCAATATATAATGAATATAACCATAGAACGATATAATCAATTAATTCCAACCATGAGAATAAGAAGGGGACTTATCAATCCTGTTGGATCTATAATTAAAGCTCTTACTGGAAACTTAGACAATGATGATGCAGTCAGATACGATAAATTGATAAGCAGTATGCAATCGAAACAAAATGTAATGATGAATAAAATTACTTTAGTTTCCGAGATGGTCGATACATTTGTTAACATTACCAACTCAACGAGAAACAACTTTATAATATTAGAAAAAACTATTAAGGAAATTGAAGAAATTTTGAATAACACCCAGTTCCAAAGAAGTAAGAGCCTTGTTTTAAATACATATAATATGTTAATTCATAACTTTCAAATATTATTAACCCGCTTAGATGAAGTAGAAACAGCAGTAGCATTTAGTAGAGTTAATGTATTGCATCAATCTATATTAAATACAACTGAACTATTTAACATTCTCATAGACATTGAGAAAACGGATAGGCTACCTTTTCCTGTGACTATTGAAAACTTAGTTAATATTGAACATTGTATTGATATCAAAGCTTATGTAAAAGGCAAACAAATAACTTTTATTATGTCAGTACCAACGGTCCAAGCAGATGTCTATAATTATTATACCTTACATCCTTTTCCTATGTACAATTCCCACCTTGACTTATCATTCATATTAACACCTAAACATTCCCATATCCTTGCGAAAGGGTCGAAAATAGTATCGCTCTCTCAGCCTTGCAGAGAAATAGACGAAGGAAAGTTCCTTTGTTACGACAGCAACGTATCTTCAGAAGAGGAAAGCAAATGCATTACAGATTTGATGACGTTCTCTATGAAGATAACATCGTGCCTGCCTGTACCAGTAAATGCATCTACGATTAAAGTAAAAGCCATACAACCAGACTCTTGGATAATTTTCGCAGGTTTCTCTACATTCTTAACAGAATACTGCGGCAACGACATGAGCCAACACGACATCATGGGCACCTACATCATAACCCTGAACAACGCCTGTGAAGTAAAACTTGGTACAACAACTTTAAGAAAACACCGTCTCCAGACAGGAGATGTTGAATTCCGCAGCTCACCAGCTATACACTTACCTAGCATCATGACACCAAAGGACACCGTGCCACGGAAAACTATCAGCCTAGACGAGATCAACTTAGAAAATCTACAGTTTCTATCACACGCCTTAAAAGACAACAGTGAAGTGATAAATAGTGAAGGGCATTTTGTGAATGTGCACAGTGTTAGTATAGGAACTATTGTAATTTACCTCATTTTACTTATTATGTTAATGATAGCTATGTATCGTTATAGACATGTATTAGTACGTAAGCCGAATCAAAATCATCAGCCTCGTGATGAACCTTCGGATGATGATTTTGCACTTACGGAGGGAGGAGTTATGTGTAGCCAATCCTTTCCTCGTATAGTTACCATAAGCAAAGATCACGCCATGCCACCCAGCGGTTCCAAGTAACCACTAGACTTAAGTTCCTAATTGTTAATTCTCATAAAATTAATGTTTGCCAAAACAGTTAGAGAAATGTGATCGACAGATTGCTGTTGCTGGCCAACTGTGAGGTCCAGACACAGACACACACATGTAAAAGCCCTCAAGTAGTATATAAGCTCATGTAACCTAGATTTAAGCGTTCAGATCAGTTCATTGTCATCTTAAAGCTCATGCTGAGCAGACGTGTATTAATTAAATAAATATTTTTTAATATAAATCTTGCGCGCTCTTATTTGACTAAGTACATAGTATTTTCATTTTCGAAACTTCACAGTAACAGCACGGGTGGTTAGTCTCTAAATGCGTATAGCCTCATTTATGGCACTAAAGAATACTTATTAGTTAAATCGTAAAAAAGTAAGGTAAGGGACGTTGTGCTTAAAGTAAGGGATGTTTTCTATTTCTATTATATTTCTTACCATTGCTTAGTTTTAAAGATTTAAGCATACAAAGATATAGGAACAATAGGCAATTTTGTTTTATACTACATAGTGACACCATCAGAGAGTAGCGGCAAAGACAGGGATGACTAACCGGTAACTGCTGGAGCTCTCCGGAGGGTGTAAGGACCTGTTGTACTAATGTTACTGGTTGCTGAGACACTGCTACGTTACTTGATGACGTTGATGGCGTTGCTGACGAAGTCTGAAACATATAAGGCCTTCATTACAAAACAAGGTTTTTCTACACCATGGAGCCAGGTTTTGTATTTAGAATTGAAGGTAGGTGAGAATAAGATTCAATATTGAAAACCTTACTCAATAGTTTAAATCTACACTAAAGATAAAACTTGTTTAAGGAGGATAATTTGTATTCAAAAAAATGAAATTAACACAATGGCAATAATTATCAAAAGAATAATTAGGTATTTCAAAGTGTTTAACAAAGAGATCTATAGACAAGGTAAATAGGTAAAAGTAATTGTTCTATATTTAACTATTTTTATATAGGTAATAGCTCTATGTTAAAGACTAGATTATGATCATTGCCAATATTGATTGCAGATTCATTGTATATGAATACAAAGAGACTTCTATCAATAAAGTTTGATTAAGCAGTTGAACTTTATTTAATACTAATTTATTATCTGTATTACCTGTGCACACGGCTGTAAAACTATCTGTGGTTGCGCAGCGTTCTGTAAAGCAGCTTGATGGTGGGCCACCTGAAAGACATTACAGGTTTTATTTAAATTAATTTGTTTTAGTTTTACATCTCGAAATAATAGTTTATGTACTTCTAATTCAAGTTATTATGGCATCGGCAACGATCGATGAAGCATGAAAATATTGCCAAAAACCTCTTATGTGGAGGGACAGTTTGACTGCATGGTTGGCGCATACTCCTATGTGAAGGGGAGGACTTTCAGTGTATAATTGGCGCAGTGGCTAGGCAACTGGCTGTTGTGCAACGTGTCGCGGGTACCCTTACCGCTTCGAACAACACTGTGTAATGTGTTGTGTATTTGTATACGCCAACGACACAGGAGAAAATCCAAATGTGGAAAAATAAACCAAAAGTCAGCTGACAAAGTCTGTTGATAATGTTTTATAGTTCAGTGTTACCTGGTCAATATGACTACTCCGTGGCGCGTGATCGTAGCGCGGCTTGTTAGGTTTGACCTCTTGTCGCGGAACTATATCGATCAGAAAGTCAAACTGATCGCACTTTGATATCGCCATTGCTATGTCGTTGCGCTGAAAATAGAAAAAAAATGTTCAGTCTTTTTGTTATATAAAATAGTTGCCGTCTGAGATTTAGTTCTGTATGGTGGATCTGCTCTAATTTGCTTTTAAGAACATTTTCACAAATTCACAGTGGAAACAGTGATGCATCCTTTCCTACCCCACTGTATCAGTCCAGTGGAGCCGGCTCATTGCCTCCGAAGTATCTAGCCCCAGTTTAGACAGGTACAATGCTGATACTAAAATGTCTTCACTATTTATTAGATGATTGTACATATAATATTCAGGGTGTAAGGGACAGCCCTCCACAAATTAACAGGGTGCATTCAGCTCCTTATTCTGAATCATATTCCAGTGAAAATTCTTTCAGGAAAATTTTAAATTTTTTTTTCGTTTTTTCAGTTCCTACACCTCTATTTCAATGTATAATTACATTCTATGTATGAAGAATAACATTAATGTAAATAACACAGCTAAAACAAAAAAATACGCAATGGTTGTGTGAATTCTCTAAAGAACTACGCATGAAATTAGCTGTTCAATTTCTACCTAGCGCGAGTCGTTTGAACTCACCGCACCGCGGTCACGGCGCAGCGGCTCGGCGCCCCACCGCGCCGATCGCCGCGCCGTAGGTATACCTACGATCCCGTCCAACGTACAGAATAGCTGCGTCCCTTTCTGTCGATTGAACCAGTGTTGCCAACTTTTAACTTTTGTTACCTCTTCTACCTTTCTCTCTTTCTACCTTTGTAAACGAAAATGTTAGAACTATCGAAATTTATCTAAAACTTGAGAACTCCTTTGCATTCATAATCACATTGATGAGATTTTCATTAATCAATTAATGAAAATCTTGTCGCGCACATAAATTGAATAAAAAATAAATAAAGATTAGTCTAGTTTTAATTTTAAAGCATTTACAAATACTACCTAATTTATTAATTGATTGTTCTTTTTAAGCGATTACTGGCTAGTTTTTAAACTACTTACAGATTTACATGGCTTCACAATAGCCATGAATTGATAGTCGAGCCAGAAATTAAACACAATCTCCCTGGAATGGAAGCACAGCTTTCTATCACACTGCACTTTTATTATTCTAAATTAACTAAACAATGAAATTAGAATTAAATTGATTTAATCAATTCATTTCTCTACAAAAAATAACAGAATGATAAATTACGACCATGCATAATTTTTTATTTTTTACCCCGAAATTTTGTAATTTTCATGTAATTGGCAACAACAGATTTATGTTTGTGTGTGTCTCATCACATGCAGTCGCCATTATGCCTTGCTGCGATGTTACTGTTTGTGTTCCGCGAGCGTGTGTCGGGACGGATCGCTCGCGCATTCGGCTTAAAAGTTTTGTTATAAGTCGTGTTGTTAAGTTTTATTAGTTATGTAGTGTGTGAAGTGTAGTGAAGTTTTGTTGTAGAAATTGTGCGAAATTACTACCTAGGTACGTTTAGCGCGCGTGATTATGGGGAGATGATAATGTGTTGTAGTAGTGTAGGTATCCTGACCGTCGGCATCCATCAGACTCCAGGATAATTACTGGTGACTATCAACGCTTGCTAGAAAACCAGCCCATTGTTCCCAGACAAAAAGGCGCCGGAAGACCAATACCTACGTGGATTTTGGAATTGGTTCGCTAACGTAACGAGACGCTACCACTTACCAGTGCTTTCCTATTTAAACGTAGTTTAGGTAGGTTTGGACCGCAACCGTGGCCAGCACGATCCCCAGACCTAACCCATTTGGGCCCCTTTTTGTGGGGTTACGTAAAAGAAAAAGTGTTTGTGAGTGCGTGTGCAAGTGAGTACGAAATGCGAGACCGCATCACAAATGCTTTCCAGAGCCGGAAACCGGAGCGATTCTAAGGTACCTACCTACGCATTTTTCTTTTTTTATCATTTATCAGTTACCATGTTATGATTGTTAGATTTTCTTTTGTTAGTAAGTAATGCGGCTATCTTTTAAATAATAATTTATTGTTATTAAAACGTGGCGCGAGCGCGATTATTAAATTGTCTTTTGTTAGTAATGCGGCTATCTTTTAAATATTAATTTATTGTTATTAAAACGTGGCGTGAGCGCGATTATTAAATTGTCTTTTGTAAGTAATGCGGCTATCTTGTAAATAATAATTTATTGTTATTAAAACGTGGCGCGAGCGCGACCGTTTGTCCGAAAGGTAAGGTCGCGGCGCCATAGTGTAAAGTAATAATACTAAAAGCGCTGCCGTTCGCTGCGTGCGTTTGCGGTGGTAGCGATACATTGCGTGTAAGGTAATGAAACAAATCGGTTTAATTGGATTCCCATAACGTTCCTGAAATAATTTCATGTACCGGTCAACTTAAGACGATATACTGAATCCACCCTATCAGTTTGCGGAAGGCTGTCCCTTACACCCTGTATATAAGGTCGTGGTGGCCCCGAGGTTAAGGAGCCCGCTTCTCATGCATGAGGGTGTAGGTTCGAAACCTGCCTGGCAAGTACCAATGTGACTTTTTCCGAAGTTATACGTACTTTCTATGATTATTTAGACACCACTGACATACGGTGAAGGTAAACATCGTGAGGAAACCTGGACTTATAATTTCTAATTATAAGTTTGAAATCGCCAACCCGCATTGAGCAAGCGTGGTGATTGATGCTCAAACCTTCTCTGTGTGAGAAGAGGCCTTTGCTCAGCAGTGGGCACTTTGCTCAGTATAGGCTGATGATGATGATGATGATGTACATATAAACCTGTCTCTTCAATCACTCTATGCCTATTAAAGAAAACCACATCAAAATCCGATGCGCAGTTCTAAAGATTTAATCATACATAGGGATATAGGGACAGAGAAAGAGAATTTGTTTTATACTATGAAGGGATTAATATAAGGATTACCTGCAAAGTTCGTCTTTTATTATCCTCAGTATGCGCCCACGCTCTCAGTGTAAGCTCATGTATGAATATTTCAGCCGCTTTAGCGAATAACACCGGGGCTTCAGCAGAAATCATCTTGACCTCCTCGTCCAATTTCATAATCTTCTTTATACGGGCGAGAGGCAAAGCTTGGGATTTGAAGTCATCCTGAAAAAAAGAACAAATTTTGTTATGGTATAGGGCAGACATACGACCAGCCTGATTACTAATCGTAAGTGATCATGAGCACGCGCAACATTAAAGGAGTTTACAGAGCCCATTGAAGGATTTTTGTGAAGGAAGTCTCTACGTCGCTACTTTTTTCGCCATTGCGTTTTTATGTAGGTAATGATGTGACGTTGGATTCAGCCCATTCGTGTCGAAGTATGGCTCCAACTCTTTGTACACCACAAACTTTTTTTTGTGAGAGGGAAATCATCAAATGACTTATATTGCCTAGGGTAAGGGAAAAGGGAAAGTGTTCTGACACTTTCCCTTTTCCCTTACCCTCAGTAAAAGTCTGCTTTTACTGACTAAAGTAAAAACCCCCCGTTCCTTCTCCTGCTTTAAACCGAGGCCGCGGTACTTTATTGCGCTAGTCTCGCAACCCCAGCTGAACATCGGCCCTGTATGGCCCTGTCTTTAGTGCTTTATTTATTCTTTGAAGCGCACGCAGAACGCTACGCGCCATAAGTTTGGGGCTGGTTCTGGTCGGACAGCGAGCTACCCTTACTCGCCGTCCGCAGACCCGCGCTTATGGTAGCGTACATCACGAATCTGGCAATTGGATTTCATTTCTGTTCCTTGAGTTGAATACAATATAACTGCATAGATGTGACTATGTTGTTTTCGGGATTGATTCTCGCTTCAACCCTGAGCTTAATAATCTATAGGTGGTTTAATAACCGGTTCTATTGTACGTACCGCATTAACTTTACTGATGTCTTCTGTGACTTTGCACCAGAATTGCTGCAGACTCTGCTGTGGGGATTCGACCTGGGAGTTATCTTCTATGATGTCACTGTCCACTTCTTCTGCCACGCCTGAGGTTCCGGCCTGGTCACTGTGGAATGAGTGAAGGTCCGTCAAGAACATAATTCTTATAGAAAATAGGAACACGTGCGTGACATTTTTGTACCAGATCAATGTAGAGTTTGCAAACGACGTATTTGTTGTTACTATTTGAGGTTTGTAATTTTCTAGAAATGTGTACGGAGGCTTTTTAACTTACTTAAGAAAAGATTGAAGCCCTCAATTCTACCGATATTTTTTGGTAATCAATATTATATTATATTTAATATTATATTTACAATATTTTGGAAACCTCGCCAGTTTTATCATTTCATGTGGACAAAATCGTAAGAAAATATCTACTAGTACCTACACAAATAAAAAGGTTGTTCACGATTTGTACCTAACGTCCTACGTATAAGCCTCCAGGTAGAAAACGGATATGTTGTTATGACTATCGTGTGACAAAAATATAATATAACTAGATATACTTTGAACCCACAGAAATTGCCTTCGGCTGCTCAGTAGTCTTGGGGTTGTATCTAAGAACAAGCACAACATAGATAGTAATTTTAATATTTTAATACTTTTCGGAACGACTAACGGCTATGCACTAACGGGAAATGCCATTCATTATCGCGATAATGGACGTTACGTTAATCGTAGGTGTAATTTGATCACTAAACAAATGACTTAAGGTATATATTTCATTGTTTTATATCATCAATTATCGCGATAATTATTTAGCTATATTATACGCAGCTATTTGCGGAGTTAACTTTTCGGTTATTTGTCCTTCTCCGTCGAAGTGCCGGTTGGTATGTAAAGGGATATAGAAAAACAAAAACAAACTTATTTTCGCAATTACCCTATAATATTACCCAGTAAGATTCCGAATCACGGCCATAAAGGCTGATTTTCTTATCAGAATATGATTATAGTAGCTAATATTTCCTTGATACTACTACTAACTACTATACTTGATATGTATTGCGCATCAAAAACATTTGCGTATTTTAAGGTTATAGGTAAGTACGGACTTGTGCGAGATCGGTGACATACCTAATACATAACAACATCATGTTTGAATCAAAAATATTTACTCAATGACGATACATCTTTTAAAATTTATAAGCACTTAGTTTGTTACTTTTGTCCTAGGTCATAAAGTTGATTTTCGAGTTGAATTTTCTAATTCAACTCGAAAATCACCAATGTACAATGTACAAAGGTTTAAAAGTTTACAGAACAAATGAAGATACTTACACCCGGTTTCCGAAAGGCCGATCAATGTTAAAATCAATTTAATGTCTTCTCAAGTCATCTGATTGGTTGACTGAATTATTAACAACCAATCAGATGACTTGACAAGAGATTTAACAGGAGATTAGTTATTTTATGTTATGTAGCAGATTAGCTGCGCAGTCTGAAGTTAGCCGTTTGTCTGTCCAATGGATCTTTTAGGAACAAAATTGTGTACTGCGCAGCTAATCGGCTAACTTCAGACTCGCCAAGATACGTTGGCGGTATTGTAAATGGTCATAAGCTTCGAAGTGGCATAGGAAAGAGAAAGAAGGAGCTCATTGCAAATAAATGCGAAAGTAACTCTGTCTGTCTGTCTGGCTTTTCTTAACCCTAAACTACTGAACTGATTTCTGTGAAATTTGGTAGGTACAGACGTAGTTTGGAGCTCGAGAAAGGACATAGGATAGTTTTTATAGCAAAAATCTGCGGGAAGTCACTATTCCACACGAACGGAGTCGCGGGCAAAAGCTAGTACGCTACTAGTACTTATAGGTACTATAATATTACCGTGCTATAGTGCCGCACGCCAAAGTTGGCGGAGCATGTACTTCGCCAAAGAACTTCGCGAGTTGTACAAAAGAGCTACGAGACAACAGTTTGTGCGTTAACATTAGTTTCTCCTAATAACAGGAGTCTCGACTTCCGCAAATAATTACAAGAGAACACTTGTTTCGAGTCGGGAACAATTTAACAGCCAGTCTCGATCTATACTAATATTATAAAGAGGTAAAACTTGTAAGTTTGTATGTAGGGGGTGATCATTCGAACCGCTGGTCGGATTGTCAAAATTCTTTCACTGATAGATAGCTACAATGTTCCTGAGTGCTATAGCCTATAAAACATCACGCTACGATTAAATGGAGCCGAGCAGCGGGTGAAACTGCGCGAGAATAGCTAGTAGTTAATAAAAAATATAGAAAGAAAAGATTAAGTTCTATAATATGCTTAGGGCTAATTTTTCAATAGTCTGATAAATGTTATCTGAGTACTAAAATAGTTGCTGTCACTGTCTTATAAGTACAAACATTGTGACGCGACCGCATCATAATTATTCCTTAGTTAACTTTTATCTAACCATTGAAAAATCAGTCCTTAGAATGTATTTGTATTATGTGGCCATTAATCGATGTTTTTCGAGCTTTACCTACTGCAAAACGCAATATGTTCTTAAAAGCAATAAAATGTACATACCTAAATTAACCAAATTAAATCTAGTTTTTTTTTTAAAGTTGTGTACTGATAACAAGCAATGGCTGGCGTTTGGCTTCTATTTCGCCAGGCAGTAAAATTATGATGTGGCCTGCGTTGGAAAACGTCTACCCTTAAGCGACCTATTCACTTGGGTCTTGAATACACCCTTCGGGGAACACAGACTCCGGCAAGGCAAGGAAAACCATAGCGGTTGAGCGGTTAGCGTACCGTGCGGTTTTGTTATTGGTAGCGAGTTCATGTTGCTTGTTCTTTTTTGAACTATTTCAGCCTAATATAGGTAGGTAGGTAAGCGATTTCTCGAACGATTAATCTACTGTGTGTACTTATAAGTGTAAAATGGATTTTAACATTATGGCGCGTTAATTGTAAGTAGTGCAATATCATTTAGATATCTCCGTTTTAAATTTTGAGGTGGACTAAAGATACTTTATTAATATGTATAGGTAGATGGTACTTATTAAATACTTCTCTACGTAACATGATAAACATTTGGCAAGTAGTTTATAAAAGAAAACTATCGACAATTTATTAAAAACAAACTCAGAACGCACTCATATCAATACCGGTAAAGTTATAAAATAACACTTTATAGGTAAATTAAGAAATTATTAAAAGTATACAATAAAATAATTAATTAAAACAATATTGCCGATTAATTAATGTTAAAATATTATGAATGCAAAAAATAATATTATCAAAAGAGGAACTTACGCAGGCACAAAGAAACACACGGACATCTTGTACCTATCAATCCCACGACACAGCGACCTCGAGGTTTTCACAATTCAGAAAGACTTTCCAACAAGATTAATTATCGGAAAATCGCTATTAGAAAATTAGTAACCGCTTCCAAAGTTAATAAAAACACAGTAACCAATAATCAGTGTAATATTTGGAGATCTCCAATCAACAATTACTGAAAATGCGCCCGACACACGATTCGTCCACTGATGACCAGTCACAAGCTTGACGTTTGGTTAGTATTGCCAACTTATGTCATTCGTACGATTTCTGAAAACTACCATCAATCACTTTCAATAAAAACCTTATTTATTTCAGTTAGGATGCAGAAATAAAGTGTCATTTCTGCAAGTTAGCTAATAGAGATAAGTATTAACTTGGAATCTGCTTGTAAAGTTAATCCATAGCTACGAAAGTTATCCGTAATCTTAAAAAGGTAGATATTAGAAAAAAAGTATTGGCAACCTAACCGGAACCAGCTAAACGTCAATGGACGTCACCAAAGTAGCGTCTGCTAATAAAAATTAAAATGGCGGCGGCCGAGATTCAGATAGTGAATCCTTCAAATTTATCAAAAATTGAAAGGTAAATCGAATATTTTCATTCAGAAACGTGTACTTTGTAGCTTTGTATACAACATACAATAAAAATAATATAGTCTTCGTGTGTATAGTGATATGGTCAAGTGCATGTTACTGATGTTTGTTTTTGCATTGATTGTTCCAGTTTTCTCAATGATCCGAGTTACAAAGAGATTATTGAGAACTCTTCAACCTTCAATTCGCGACTATGTGCGGAAAGGAGGATGCGTATGCCGTTTATCGACACACAGACTGGTAAGTTATCGATTTCTCTCATTAGCACTTCAACGCGTTTACGCCCACCTTAATAGCTAAATATTTACAAATTTATCGAAATAGTCGGCTTTACTTAATAGGTAGATTTTTATCTTGTTTTTATTTGTTATTACCGGCCTATTTGTTGATAACAACTAATTATTTGTTAGTGCCTCGGTTTTATGAGATGTTATCAAAGTACACTTGTCTCTGTCTTATAAACTACGTTTCCATTTGGCCATCTCTGTCTAAAAATCGAACCAACTTTGATCGAAGTACAATGTAATGTAAGTACTAAACATGGTTAGATATCCTAGGCGTAACCTAGGCTTGGTTATGAAGTTGATGTAAAGGACCGAATTCTGAATTCTGTAACATTGATTGATTTGAAATTGCTAGATAAACAAAATTGTTCTGCATCCTTCAGGCTTGATACCATTTGAGAGAATTTTCTAGATCTTACAATTCAATATTTTGGAATCATCATAATCAATACCAAGGAATTGTTTAGGAATTCATGTTTAACATCTAAATTATGTTTAGAACACTGTACAAAGAAAATAAATGTTTGTCTTTTAGAACCCATAATATGAGATTTAAGAATGTCATTCTTGGTATAAAATGGAAATGAGAAGTAAATCAGAAGTTTAGAATAAAGTTCCAATTAACTCTATTCTTTTCTGTATTACATTTAAAGCTGAGTGGCATATATCTTGAAAAAGCCTGAGTATCAAGATTAGGCTAGCAGATTGTTGAGTGTAGAATAAATACTGATGCTTATTACTAACATAACACATTCGAGATTTAAAACAACAATTACAGATCACAGAAATAGTTTATTTACCCTTAAATGCCATCATATTGGCTTCTGGATGTCAGCTGAACATAGGGCTTCCTCAATTACTTCCAGATTGGTGGTTAGAAGTAAACTGCAATACATTTATTCTTTTTCATTCAGACGCACAGCCTTATGTTTTATATCCTGCATTTAATCAAACAGATTTGGTTGTTTAAATATATTGTTATTTTGTTACAGGTGTTGCACAGAGCCACTGCAATTTGTTCATGACAAGAAGACAGCGCATGCCCGGCCAGAAGGAAGGACAAGTTTACACATACCCCGCACAGAGGTTTGTTTCCATATAAATATAAATTAATTAATGCATAATGCGATTGGTTGTAAAGTGTCTTAAATCCTTAGCTTCAATAAATGTTAGTACTTTCATTGAGTACAAAAGAAATTTCAGTTTTGTACCCTTCATCCACAAAATGGTTACAAATATGAGTTTTTGTAAAGATCAACCCTATGCCTAACTCTGGAGAGTCAGATCTTAACCCTTAATTCCTTATAACCTTTACAGTAAATACTATATCAATTTCACCAATGGACTAGATTAATATCTCTTATTCTTCCTTATAAACAGATGGCGCAAAGCCCGCCGCCAATATCTAACAATGTCATCTACGCGGTGGGGATGGACGGGAGCTTCTGATAACCTGGACAATACGGGTGAAGGAGAGAACAGCTCTGGAGTGCCGGGTGATGCACTTGCTGGTGATGACAGTAGAGACGGTTCACAGACTGCAGCTAAGGATGATCCTAAGGTAATTAATTCCTCTTTTTACTGTTTCATGGTTTACACATTTCAAAAATTTGATGAGGTTACAAACTCTGCTAGGGACTCATTTTTATGGACAGCATTGATACATGTGAAACATGACCATGTCAGAGTCACATAGTCAAATCTTTTATGTGTGTGTTTTTCTTACCAATTATTAGCTCAATTGGAAAATACATTCAGAATTAAAAGTTAACTTTCTTTTAATTTGGAGCTGTCAGACTTTTCTATATATTATGGACTTTGTTTACTAAACGATAGTGTAAAAATCTATAAAATCAATTATAACAATTGACCATTGTCCTCAGGAATGGTTCTACGATGAACTAGCAATGGAAGAAATGGAAACTGGTGAGGAACCTGAAGCGGAATCGGATGAGGATTACTACGATGATACTTATGCGAACAGGCGCAAGCGGCGAGGTGGGGCCACGCCCACCGGCCCAGGGTCCAGAGGAGGGCGCACGCGCAAGTCACAGCCAGACGACACGCCCGCCAAGAGGGGCCGAGCTGTGAGTATGATATCAGTTCTGGTGTAACACTTTTATCTATATATATTTTATTATATGACTGATGAATGTATATTAATAAAGATGTATATGATTTTAGTAGAGATCCTGATGGTAAAGAAACAATACGAGGAAGTATTATCTTTTGTGTGGTGTGTGGAATGCCAAATTAATGACTTTTCTTTCTCCTTATCTTCTTTTTTATGTGACAAATTACCTGATGGTCAGCAATCAGGAGTTGCGAGTCAGATACTGGCCTTTTGGGGATTAGGGTTCAGAGATGGTATTAGTACCAATACCATCCCCAAAACCACCCCTAAAACTTCAAATGACTTCGTAAACATATGGAGACTCCAAGGCTAGTTAGTTGTTTATTTCAGTAAATTTGCACCCTGAAATCGTAAGTTAAAACTATACATCAAATATAATATTTTTGCAGGGTCGCGGGCGAGGCAAACGCGCTCAAGGTACTCTTCCATACGAGGTGCCCGGAGACAGTGAGAAACCCTTCGGCTGTGAACGTAAGTCACGAAGGAGGCACTAATGTGTTCCCCGCCTTACTCAGGTCCTTACTGTTTTTGCATCCTGATGAAGACATATCAACCTTATTCGTCTTGAGTGCATTGGAAATGGAAAGTTCTAGATGGTTCTCAAAGAATGTCAAGCTTGTCGTAAGACTGTTTTCATAATCTAGATGTACACAAAAGTAGACATAAGCATTGTAATAAACTTCTAATATGCTTGGTTTTGTATATGGATTTCTTTGAGTTTGTACAGTTTTGAAGAAAAAAAATTAGTTACATCGCGAATTTATTTGTCCACACAAAAATCCTTTAGTTTTCCTTCATCGCACCTAGAAGAGATCTGAGTTCTTGCCATTGGATTAATAAATATTAAGGAGGTTAGATTATATTGTTCTGACTAGAACTCTTTTAGAGGTGGTGACGAAAGAGGTTCTTATGAATTACCTTTATCTGTAAACCAGTTTTTTTTTACTCAGATTTAATTTTTTCTAAAGTATTTCCATTTCCAATGCCCTCTACTGATAATATTACAGCAGCACCAATCAAGTTATATACCAATAAATAAGAAATAGTAATAGTTGTACATTTAGCCTAGATATGTAATCCGCCACAAAAACAATAGATAAAACAGACATTCCTCTGAACCAAAATATGCAGTAGATGGCCAAGCAGTGAAATGATTAATTGTCGCACTTATTTAAGCATCAAAAGGCTCTATATTTTAAAAAGAAACTCAATGAACCTAAGGACATAAGGTTACATCAACCGAAGGAATTCTTAATTTATTTTAGTTCTTAATTTCGGCATAGAATGAAGAATAACTAAAATAATTCCTATAAATAATACCCAGATTAAATAAAAAAATTAAATGGCAGTGTATTGCATTGACATGTTACCTATAAGTTATTATGTCAAAAATGCATGAAATCAATATTGACATTAATTTTTTTTTTGACTGACACATCTTCATGCCTTTTATTGAATAGGAGCAAAGTTCAGCAATATGTTAAAAATATGATAAAAAGAAGTATTAAATATGAATTTGACTTGTTGGATATAACTCTTATTATTAAAAGAAAGAGTGTATTCCTTCTTAAAAATCCAGCGGCACACATGTGACTTTAGTTTTGCTGGTGTCCACATGTAGTGTTAATTACTTAGGTACCATCAGGTGAATCTATTGCTTGTTAGTCTATTATTCAATTCAAAACAGAAGAAATCCTTTTTTAACTGCATTTAATAAGGAAATCTAAGGATTAACAATTAATTACTGCTTGGTCCAATCTACTGTTAATAAAAACCTCAAAAAAAAATACTAAAATGAATTTTTGCTCAACACATTTGTCGTAAATTAGGACCTGAGCATGTAGAAACTATTCAATGATTACAGAAAAAAACAACGGTGTAGTTTGTGGTCAATCTAGATGTTGTTTAAAAATACTGGTGTTTTAGGTACAGCTTCAATATTTGAATATGGAATCAATTCGGACTAATGTGGCGTTTGTAATTACGAATTTTGAAGCTTATTTTTCGTAATTTAGGAAACGTTAGGAAACTTTTTAATGATCTGTTTCGCTTCAAAATTATGGTACTTGGTATTAAAAACTTCAAAAAAAAATGGGTTAGTTTTTTGGTCTATGTGAACTTGACAGTATTTTTTGTGGTTGAGAAATTAATATGTCGCCTACAATTATTAACAATTTGGAAGGGGTATTGAATTAAAAAAGTGTGTTTTGCTATAAAATGAGGAGTTATGTAGTATTTGACAAATGTACCTGAATGTATCTGTCATGGTTGGAAAATAACTATTAGTGGTAAAATTAGTAAGAAACTATTAAAGTAATGAATAGCACGCATATATTAATTATTAAATTAGTGGTAAATATTTTATTATTGGCAATAAATTTATTATCTATGCATAGAGTATATTTATGTAATGTATTTAGGATAGTATAAACTTTTCGAATAAAACTTATACTCGCCAGGTCTTGATCTGTCAATATCGAAAAGTTGGACTTAGGTGTTCGATTTCCAAGAAAAATAGTTCAGCATGTTATTGATAAAAAGTGATTTATGTGCGACGTCATCTTTGCTGATTATGAGCCCGGGTATAGCTCAAAACCAGTCGAGCGTCCTCGAAAAGTTTTCGTAACTTTACTAAATATGAAAATGGCGAGGTTTTTATACATTTCTGATTTGTGTAAACATCTATATTGACCACAAAGTTCGGTATAAAGAGACAGACATATTTACGGAATATCATTATTGATATAAGCATTGCATAGTTATAATAGTGCAGGGCCAATGAGTACTGTAATTTTTAGCGTTATAGTTACTAGGCGGGTGAAGGGAGACGTGTATAGGAAGGCTTATTATTGCATGGCGGTCTTTAGTTAAAAAATCAAATTAATAATAGTGATTTATTATGCAGTTATGGTGGTACATAACTGTAATAGTCTTAGAGTTTGTGTTACTACAAATTACCAAAAAATAATCCTTAGGCTCTAGACAGACGGACTGCATTTCAATTGCAATCCAACTGCAAATTTGCAGTTCGGATGCAGTTTGAACAGCAATAAATTAATAATGATTAAAAAATCAATGGCAGCTAAGTCAAAATTAATTCGAAAAACAAACTATCAACTAACTAACTAACTATCAACTATTTTATTTTATTCTTTTCTTTTTCATCAATCTCCTAATAGCCAGTTGCATGGTCCTATTTAACCTAAAGTCTTCCAAATGTACAATGTTTTGAATACTCTTACCTCAATAAATAACTAAAGATATGCCAAAAACATTACAAAAAAATAATTGACACACCAGTTCTTCCAAAATCCAAGCAATAATAAGCCTTATGCCCTTACAATAACTCGCAAACATGCCTTTTCATTGTTGTGTATGTACGTATGATGTGAATAATAGTTAGCATAAGAATCTCTAAACAATATCGGAATTAATGAAATTTGCTAAATTTTTAGATAAATTAAAACTATATATATACCTAGGACTTAGGTAATGCATTTTGCACGCAGTGTTTTGTAGAACGACTTTGAGATGAATTCAAAATGTTTTGAAGTCGATTTGTCTATCATTCATATACAAAAAATACGAAAATAACCCTTATGGCTTAGTATTATTAAAGGCGATGGAATTTCTGTATTTTCCAGTCAATAAAGTCGAATCTCTCATGTCTGACGACATGTTAAATCAATTCCCAACCCTTTATGGAAGACGTAAGGGCCAATTTCGTGTAGCTTGTTTTAGTATTTTTCTTTGGTCGGGCAATATTAGTATAATATAATTAGTAGGATTAATGAAATGTAGTAAAAACTCGTTTGTTCTACAGAGCACTGCAGTTTGTTAGGAATTGGAAGGTTTAGTGGTCATTTTATTTAACTATTTATGTTTAACTATGCGGATATGTAATGCATTTAGAATCGAGGTTTATTGTTGTTAAGGGATATCTTTGAACTCACTGAGGAGCTTTGAGGTTTGAAAGGAAAATAGGCTTTATGTGGGCGTAGTAAGGTATAAATAAGTTTTGTAAAATCTTGAAGCATTGCACATGGGGAACTCCAAAACTCCCTGAGCTAAACTAACTATCATTAGATATACGACATTTATTGAAAATAACGACTAACTCAGGTGAATTAACTAAGAAAAGCTCTACTCTTTTTATATTACTTTCAAGTTACAAAAGGACTCCTATTCGTAACTATAGTACTCACACACAAAGTTGTACTAAGTTTTGGATCCGAAAATTAGTAGAAAAAAGGACAAAATACTTTACAAGAAAAATAACTTATTTAAACTTAAGATTGTTACTACGCCCATTATCCCTTAGATGTAGATGGCGCTCGTGTATCTTTTAGTCTTCTATCTCTTCCTAAAATACTAGAGACAAGTCGGTATGCTTGAGGCCTTATAATAAAAATATTGTGCTGGTTTAATATCGCGAGAAATAAAGTAATCGGTTTTCCGTTTTCTTTAGGATTTCTTCTTCAATATTAGATTTTTTAAAACATGGTCCCAGAATGAGCTGTTATAGAATTAATATGGTCAAATTTATGACATAATAATATTTATTTATTTATTTATTTATTTATTTATTAGGACAACCAACAAGTTCTTACACTGATACATGGGCTTCACTTAAATTAAATTAATTTATGACTAAGTGTAGACTTAAATATAGAGTCATTAACATGATTTGATTTTTAATTTGAGTTTCATAGTCTTGGCGTCATTATTCTGTCATTAGTTGATGGAAAAAAGTAATAAAAATAAAGGAATATTTGAAAAAGTTAAATAACAATGAAATATGGAAATGTTCTTTCCTCTAATTGCGTGCGGCGCCATGGGATCCATCCGCTCATCAATTAGCGTCGGGAGTGAAGCGCAGTCATGTACCGTTGCATGGTGCAGGGGAAGGAGCGGGTGGTTTTAAGTCAGTAAAAGTCTGATACTCTCTTTCCTTCACCCCACCCAGGACAAATATTTATTTTGACCACTTTCCACTCTAAAAACAAAACCCATAAGTTCATTTACTTCCAAAATAGTAATAAAATCTTCTGGGACTATGGTGGGTGCAATAACTTTCGCCATATTCATCCATTACGCTCTAAATAAATATTAAGTAAGTCGAATCAACCGACGGCTTCTCAGTGAGTACGAGAACTATGAATAGGAGACTTCTAACTTTTATTGTATATTTTGTTAAATAATCCATTGTTTTGGATGTTTAGAACTTGGCATTAACTATCTGTTTACTATATTAGGTTGGCATTAACTGTATGATTATAGAGACTTGGTAATCTATGCTTTAGACTGAGCATTGTTTTACTGAGTGAAAGAGAGCGGGATAACACAGTCAGCTGTTATCTCTTTCTTGGTCAACCCATATTTACGTTTAGTTCTATGTTAGAAAGAGATGGCACTTGACTGCACTATCGCTGTCTCTTTTTGTTTATGCTGGTTTCTGACGTCATTTCTCGGTCTTAACGCTTTTTATAGTAATAGGTATTTTTAAAGGCGGTTATACATGTAACTGAATCATTATTCATGAGAATGATTTTAGTTAGACACTTTTAGGTAACGTTTATATGGCTATTGCATAGCCTATTTGTCTGTAAGTTAGCTTTTTTGATAAGTATTCTGACTTCTACACTCAAGTAAGCAAATACAGATAGATAGGTAATTAAAGTTGGCCAAATTCTTAAAGTGCATACCTATGGCTATTCAACCGGACTTATATTCTCAGTTATGTATACAATCACCTTTAAGATACACGAAAATTCAAGTTAAGTACTCTATAAAACTGCTATGTTAGTTGTTCATCGGAGTTTTAAAGTTTTTTTGCTCACTTGTTATGGCGGAAGTCTGGGTTTTATAGCTAACAATGATAATCCTGCAAGATCGGTTATTAAGAAATCTACTGATACATTAAGAACTACAATAAAATGTTTGATCTCTTGTCATAGAATTAATTTATTTATACCAATGCAATTTACTTACTCGAATACATAAATCAATATAGTATGCTAGCTATAAAACGCAGATTATCTAAAAGGAGGTTTTAATGTGTGAGCACATTTTTGATATAAACGATTTGACAGTTTAGTTACCAGCATTGTGATTGGGCTGATAGTTTTTAATCGACCAATCACGTGTCTCGATTTGAAGGATTGGTTGGAAATCTTGACTTGGGATTCGTTGATAATATCTATTCAGAGAATCAAGTTTATTTCGATTAGATTTGTGATCATTTTTAAACTTAGTTCAGAACGGATTTATTTTAAAATTCTCCCTTCGTAGGTTCTCATAAACTTGAAAATCGATTATATCAAAGTGCCCACCAAGTAGAGTCAATTATAAGCTGAAAGTTCAAAACAAAAAATGTAATAAAACACCAATGAATTGAATTGAAATCCAAATTTTACACTGCCAACATTATAATCCTTATAAATGATTGAATTATTGTAGAGTAGTTGTGTTATTTAAATGTAGGCTAGACTAGTTTCTATCGTCTTTTGTATAGTTGTTTGGTATTCGATTCTCTTTATGTAAACCATTTTATATCTATGAATTTCGCGTTCGGCCCCTGCCTTAAGGGTCTATTAGTCTACCACAGATGGGGCCCACAACGGCATATCATTTTATTTTACTAATTACAATGTGTATCGATTTTATTTCAAAATTAATTCTTAATAATTATTACAGCATTTATGTTTTCAACCTAGGTCCTTGTAAAAATTATTTAATATTCTGAATTTTATTATAGTACAATACTAAATAAACACTTGCAAAAATCAGCTTTTTGCCAATGCAATGCAATCTATTTGAAATAGTGTTTTCATAGTTGAAATTCATAAAAACGTGGTTTATGTAAAGAGAATTGTTATGTTTTCTTTGCCATGAAGCTATGATTGATCCACCATATTGGTTAGAATGTGTGGCTTTGACTTGTGAAGGCAAAATGTGCCTTAATTACAACATGTGTTCAAGTAAATTTAGGGAGCCGTTTGATTTGGTGACTTGGCAAGCGGTAACTTGTGTATGGCACTAAATTTATACTACGACTACCGACTCGGTGTCGCTTGACAGCCCATAAAATAATTCAACGTCTATACGTTAGTGTAAATCGTAGGAAAAAGGGTTCAGCAGTTTTTGAGATCGCGCTGACACAAACCCGGTAAATAGACTCAATTTTGCAATATCATTGACATCACAATTTTAATGTGACCACTGTTGAAAGCTTAACGCAAAATATCTAATTCAATAAAATGTTAACTAACTTTAACCAGGTATATAAACACCCTTATACATCACAATCTACTTGCGCTCAGTAATTAGAATGCTTGCTAGTGTTCTATATGACTAGCATTCAACACCAGAGTCACTCATAGCTTCATGCTACCTTCTCCTTAACCGAATCTTATGAAACAATCACAATTTTGAAAAAAATCACAATGTTTTGGATTTTATCGCACCGATTGGTTGAACGTGTAACTCATGTGACTGTGATAGTTTATTTATTTTTTCAATTTTCTCGTAATAGGTATTAGGAAAATTTTCTGTTTTCTCTTCCACAATGACTAAAGTTTTGCGTTTGTTTCTGGTCGATTGGTTTTAGAATAGAATACAAATTGGTGGTTGACTCTAAACTTATGAATTTGATAGTTCACTGTCAAAATGTGGATTTATAGGTACAACTTCTAGTAGGACAAAAACAAAGACCTAGATGGGTAAAGAAAAAGTGTAATTTCAAAAAATTTACGAGTTCTGATTGTGAATTTCTCATAATTTTTACAACAAAAGGATCTGATGTTAGTTATATTGATATTAAAACGATCTAAAGCAATAAATTGCATAATAATATTTATTGATTGTGTCAAAATTTCAGTATTATTGTAAAATTTTAGTCATTGTACATCTTATTGTGTTTGGTTTTACATTGATACCTTAATTATTGAATGTGAGGGAATATGACATGAATTATCTGCAGAAAAATACTAAAGTTTGATGTTACAGAAATGTTTTTAACTATTATACAAATTTTTACAGTGATAATAAATGATATGATATTTTATAAAAGGATTTCAGACGTTTTTTTACAGACGATAATAATCTCCAAATGAAATTTCTTCAGCCGGGCAATGCGAATGTTATAGGTTAAGTTTAAGTTACTCTTCATTTTATTACAAAACGTTGGCATTGCCCGGTTGAATGTATGAATATTTCATACACACTTTGCTGGTAATATTGTTCATATTTTCTATTATTTCTTGTATGTGTGAAGCAGTGAATTAAGACGATTGATGTTATTCTTAGATCCAAACTACACTGTCGTGCAGAAAAATTTGGACCCAAATGTTTATGCATTTTTTTTGTTGCTGATTTTGGCAAATCGAATACGTAGGTCGGTTTTTTGCACGCCAGTGTAACTATTATCACCCAAAGATTGTTATGAATTTATACAAGAAATATTTATGTTGAATAACAAATAAAATTATCCAGTGTATAACTTTTTATTCTTGTTTTTAAGATAACGTTTTATTGACTCCGAGTTAGGATATTGCAAGGTGCTGTAGATTTTGCTGTTGTTATTTTTTTGTTCATTAATCGACGTTTTACTAAGCTATAATGTATACTGAAATTACGCGACTAAGTTATACAGAGGGAAATAAGGGAAACACCTTATTGCGTAAATGTTTTTAAAATGGCCCAGAAATTGGTCAGATTAAATGTGTTTCTTTCAGAGTGGATTTACAGCATCATCGTATCCTATACTTGTGACGTCAGTGTTAGCGCTGGGCGGATCCATAGATTTGAAGTCATCAATCAAATAGCCCCGAAGCGTGCGTCCTCTAGAACTGAACATAGAACCTATCACGACGGGCCGGCTTTTCACCACGTAAATTGTATGAGAACATTCTAGATTTTTTTAGTTGGAAGGAAAAAATGTACCTATTTATTTGTTTATTTGGTCAGTAGTGTAAGTTTATAAATAATCTATTCGCGCTCTTTTTCTTACTGTCATAAAGTTTCAATTCAATTGACATTCTCTTCTTTCTTCTAAGAAAATCAAAGTGCACCAATGTTCTCATACAAGCTACGGCTAAACTAAAGGTATTGATTGATGACGGATAACTATAAGGCTTCGTTCACACTGTAACGCCGATGCCGTCGTGGTGCCTCCTCTATGCTCTGTTCTGTTGACGCTATAACCTGTATTTCTGTCGGTACCTTAATTTTATCGCGGTATAGTGTGGTATAAGCAGACGGAGGCATCACGGCGGTAAGTATCATGTTCTGTGTAATTGTGTTTATATTGTGTGTTGTCTTTTGTTTTTAATGGATGGATTGAGGTTTTCCATCTTTTAAGAGTAGAAATAGGCATTTTTCATAATGTTTACTAACTCGAAATGTCCACAACGACAGTTCTGGTGTTGCAAACGTCTTTAAGGTCGCCTTTTTACATCAGACTGTCAGAAGGCAAATAGGGTTTTTGATATACAGAACTCAATCCATCCACTTTACCTTCTCTAGATCAAAACTCTAAAAACATCCCTTTCTACAGTTTGCGGGGCAAAATACAAGACACGGCCTGGCCTGACGTATCACTTCACGCACACGCACAAGGAACCAGCAGGAGGCTCGGGAGGGGCTGGTGCAAGTGACGGGGACTCTAGAGACTCCAGGCCTGGGGCCCACACTCCCCCCGCCCACCAACCACCCCCACTCCAACCTGCGACGGAGTACCAAGACAGCTACGTCACCTTCCTGAATAATCCTGCTGTTGGCACTGGTAAGTCTTCTTATTTAATATTGGAACTGTACGTTTCGAACTCGAAGTGATCCAAAGAACAAATGAACAGTTCAAGACTCATATTTTAGGTGGATGATTGAGATGGAAAATCGTCATAAGACAAGACGATTGTGTCGAATTAACTGGTTCCTCATCATATCTATCTCTGTCAGCCTTTACCTAAAGGTTAGGTAGTTTGCGCAAAGATGCGCAACGGTCCAAAAATGCGCAAAGTTTGCGCAAATACAAAAAAAATGCGCAAAGAATAATACACGATTAAATTCCTAGTTTTAATGTAACAAATTAAAATTAAATTAATAATATAAAAGAAAATAAAGCGTAGCAATGAGTGATGCATGCACATTACTACTAATTCGTGTGAGTTTACAAATATTTATAATTTCATGCAACACAAGTGTCCTGAGGGCAGCGTAAGTGGTGTTCATCCATCATTATTTGACTACTTTGTAAATAAATAAAATAAATATTGTTTGATTAAACGATTTTTTCGACATTGCAATTAATTGATAGTATTTCTCAAATGATACATGTTTACAAAAATAAAATGTGGTCGCGTGTTTTTCGCAGTTTTATGAAATAAAACTCGTTAAAAATACGCACTTTTTGTTATATAGGTGCAAGTCATAGTTTTTCTTGAAATAAAATTTCAGTGAAACTGAAAAAAGTGATTTTTTTGTAAATTGACTAAATTAAACGGAATGAAATTCGAGGATAAACCAGCAAAGAATTCTATTGGTTCCAAAAACAACGTTCTCGTGTCGTGTGTACGACAAAACAAAACAAATTTTAGGTTTGATTACTGAAATGCATGGATTTAAAAAATATTAATTAATGCAAACGAAACCTCTTTTGTTGGAAATTGAACGTTCTTAATTTAGCACTATTTATAGAGTCAACATTAGGCAACAGTAAGCCAAGGTTCGCTAAAGTTCCTAAGCTTAAGGGTTTATAGATGTGCCCACCGTACATAATAATAATTATCTTTAGCAGCCAGCCAACAGGAGACGCCTCCTCGGCGCCCGACCCCGCCACCAGAGGGTTAGAACCAATAATAATATTTTTCACCTACTTTTCCGTTGCGGCCTTATATTTTTATTATTATTTTTTTTAGCGTTACGTGGATGTGTGATATTTTTAATTTTACTGAACAGAAACCTTGCTTTTGCGTTATTAGCGTCTGTATTTTTGTTACGTTTTGCGCTTATAGTCGAATGTCAACTTATATTGGCCGCGTAAAGGTTTTAACTAAATATTTTTGTTTAGCGGGTGTCCCAGCTCCGCCAGTGCGCCGTGCGTCTCCTCCGCCTCGACCAGCGTCAGCGGACACTTCTAGTTCGGATTCAGCGCATGTTCCACTGTCTGCGGCCTTGCATAGCGCTCCACCAGCCCCTGCACCCTCGGCGTCTGCATCAGAGGCTAAGGAGCCAGGAGACTCTAAAAAAGGGGTAAGTAGACGTTGACTTTAGAAATTCTGACAAATATATTATTATATAATTATGTAAGTGAGGAAGTTCTTATTATACAACTAGCGGCCCGCCCCCGGTCACTTTTTCCTAATCTTCCCCTCTACTTTTCCAATATTTTTGATAAGAACCTTCACCTGACTATAACAAACACAACAAAAAAAGAATTAGCAAAATAGGTACAGGCGTTGTTGAGTTATGCGCTTACCAACACATTTTGCGATCCATTTCTATATATAAAGATAATCGTTAAAACGAGTCCAAAAATATACTCCCAACGTAATAAGTGAATGGTGTTAGGAACTGAAGACCTGGTAGCTGAAGGCTCAATACTCCGAAGGTATAAGTTAAGGTTGATCTTTTTGTCTATAGGTGACACCATCACCATACTGCGACTTCTGTCTCGGCGACGATCATGAAAACAAGAAGACGGGTACTCCTGAAAAGTTAGTCAGCTGTGCCGACTGCGGTAGATCAGGTAAGAGGCGCGGCCGACCTCCACGCAACGGCCTCCCAAAGCCTTCGTGCTATCATCTCGAGAACCGTGTCTGTGAACGTCATCGGTACCTTCGAGACAGTATCAAGCTCAACGGAGTAGTAGAAATACACAGCTCCATGTCCTACTCAGCGGATGATTTTGATAACTTCGCCACCCAAACTAAACTCCTCCATGACGACTACGGTCAATACCCCGTCTCTCCCCCCTCCCGTCAGAGCCCAACATACGAATGTGATCTCTACGTCACCGGTTCGAATAATATCTAAAACTCGAGTATTATTTGTGTGTTTGTCTGTAACAAAAGTTCACTATCCGTACTCTTATTGTCGGTCCTACCAAAGAGAATGTTTGATGGTTAGTTTTAAATATTACATTCCACGTTTCATACTCTTTTTCGAATGAAAAGACCTTTGATGCATATTTTAGTAGTTATATTATAATCGTGTTAGTATAGTGACATCACAATATAAATGTCAAAATCTTTGTCTTAAGGTAAACTTTTTAAATCATATCCGAACATAAAATAATAATGAATGATGATATCCATATGATAATTTTATGTCACATATCATTGTGAATTTTTAACCTGTGTGTCAGTGTTGCACTATGTGATCTTGGTGTTGCCATTTTAAATAAACAACACTTGTGACGATGGATGCCAAATGATGAGATATTTTAAATTGTTGTCTGTTGTAATGTTTATACCTTAATCGTTTTTATTATTTTTAGTGAGTACAAGTGCCTTATCAAAATTACATGATTTCGTATGTGATCACACTAGACCGTAGTGTTGCCAGTTCCGTTTTATATTTTATCTATATCTGTTATTTTTTTCATTTATCGTTTAAAGTTACATGCATACACAATGATATGCTAAATGCAATAAAAAGCAATAATTCAACTCAGTCGTTACCTGGCAACACTAAGGACAGTATAATTTAGTCATAGCTTCGCTTGATGCCAAATAATGTTGCCACTCAGAGGTCCATCTGTAGTGGTACGATTCGTTCAGATGTCCTAGCTTTCTAGTCACGCTGCAACAAAGTCACCGCACGCGTCCCTCTGTGACCAATATATCTTGAAACATGACATCTACGTCAATTTGACATTATACCTCAAGTGTCAATGTCAAAACAGTATACAGTTTATATTAGCCGAGTTAACCTCTAGACTTTTGAGTCTTAGTCAAACAGTCATGACAGTGCAGGATATTATTGGTCACAGAGCCATAGTTACCCGACTACGCAAGTATGCCTAGCAATAATGATTTTTATATTTTCTCTCCATACTAGGGAAAGCGTTTTAAACCTCATTTTAAATAAATCCTGAGTCGTTTTGTTTCTATTAAGAGACGTGTGTTCCGTTAACTTTTTATAAACTAAATATGTATGTGTAAAGTTTGCCAATATACTATTATAAGCTCATAATTACATTAATTGCCGTCTCCGAGATATTTAATGATTACTTAAACCATTTCTTAGTAACGATTTTGTTTCGGAAACTATTCCTGAGCTAAGAGTTAGAATAATCATTAAATGAATCTGAGTACTGCAATAAAAAAAATACATTAGTCAAGTGGGTTTTAGTACTAAACTATTCTGAAGCGTAGGCGGGTTATAAACAGTAGCTTATTATAATATTACGTAGGAGCTTTTACGTGCCTTTTTGAACACCCATTTTTTTAAATCGTAACCCAAAGATTTTGATAATAATTTTAGTTACAAAGAAGACTAACTTCATGTTGTTAATGTGTTTTTAATCTTGCGTCATCGTGAATACATTTTTTGAATATGGAATATTAAAGCGGCCAGTTTCATATGGCGTTCCTCAATGTTTGAATGTTTTCTCAAAACCATAGAGTTAATTGATTGAAGTATCTGCTTTTATTTATTTTTTAATACAGTTAAAGTATGGCATTGATCATAAAATATCATTCCTATAGCTATAGACATGTTTTGTTTTAGTTTTTAAGTAAAGTTTTAATCGAAATTAGGTTTTAAATTTTATTTTATGCGTAGATTTATTATTATATATTATAATGATATATTGACAATTTATTCTTCATAGTATATTTCTATAGTGGTTATCAAATTATTACTTTATAGTTTTTTAGTTAGTTGTTGTGACTTTGTTCACTGTTTTGGATCTTTTACCCTTAAATTTTTAATGTACAATGGTGTTTATTGACCACGTTAATGAATTATTTACCTACCCAAGAGAATCGTATATATAGAATATTATATCTGTTAAAAGAATTTCCATTTTTAAGTAATATGTCTTTCGAATGATAGAATTCTAAAATTAACTCATGGGTATAGATTATTTTTACTATTATGGGGCTATTTCAATATTTGGCAATATATAACATACACGCTTTGGTCGAGTTCTTATAAATGGGTTTAGTTTGGTAAGAGATATCCTTATATTATAAAAGAAATATCTTACTTTGATTCTTTTATAAAGTTGGCGATTAACGCCTTGAAATCTTCCCTACGTTTCGAAGCGTAGGCACAGGCGTGCTTAGATAATCTCCTTTGGATGCTCAGTGTAGTAGTGAAATACATGAACACTGATTGGTTTGTATGTGGCGTGTGGAGTCTGTTTTATTTGTACTTGGCGGTGTTGTGTCTACTTCTTAGGGGAACTAAAGCTTAATGTTTTACTGTATTATAAGTTTAGTATTCCCTTTACGCTTGATTCTATTCTGTATGTGATAAGATTTGATCCCGGGATTGGAATTACTTTTTTATTGAGTACTAACTGAGCTGCGCCGGCTCCGCACGGGTGTGCTGATACTAAATTCATATACTATTTAATGGATGGATTATACATATAAACCTTCCCCTTCAATCACTTTAGAAAAAACTGCATAAAAACCTTTGCAAAGTTTTAAAGATTTAAGCATACATAAGGATATAGGGATAGGGAAAGCAAATTTGTTTTATACTATGTAGTGATTATATTAATAAAAAAAAAACTGTTGATAGATAATGATGCATCCTGAAATTCTGTTACTTCCCCCAGTATGGCATATGTTGACTTTTTCGCAAGAGACTTCAGTTTTTTTCTAATTGAATGAATGTATCCTAAAAATATACTTCTAACAAATCCATGTGGCCTTAAAACCAACTTTATTTTATTGTTTTCAAGGTTGATATTTAAATACGTGGTCACTACACACCATTGTGTACATGATTGGCTTGATATGGTACCTATGTACTTAAATATTGGTGCCGCTTCATAAAAAACCCTTTCATACGAAACGGGTTCGAAGTAGGAACGTAGTGTAAGTTACCGTTTTTTATAAATAAATTTATATTTATATATTATCGTGTCACGTCTGTTAGGTGCCTTAGTCTGTGCAATTGTAACCTTCTAGAATTTGTATTTATTATTGTGTCTGTGTCGAGTTTATACGGGGTGGTGTTTTGAGAACTCCTTTTTGTTACGAGGCCCTATTAACGAGCTTTAGATTGTTTCGCGTATCTTTTTAATGTCATGTTAGTTTGTTTTCTTGTGAATAGAGGTGTATAATTTATTCCATGGAATTGTTCACTCTTGTGTATATTTTCTTGAGCTGTATTTTTTATTCACACAAAGAAAATAAATTGTTTACCCAATACAATATTCCTTTGACAAAAATTACTTAAATCCATAATTGACAAGCTAGAGAACTGGCTCACATTCAACACACCCTGTATAATAGTAAAAATGCTGTGTTAAAACCATGTCTACAATTTATATTCAACTTTTTAAACCAATAATATAATCGATATACATAGTTGAAATATGTACACGTTTAGCAAGTTTTATTAATTAATAGTTATTACAATAATCATTATAGAAAAGCTATTATTATTATTTATTATGTCAAGTTTATGTGGGAAATTTATGTGAGTGTTTTAATGACTCGGTTTATGAGTCCTTAGTTATTTTGGTACTTAAAAGTACCAATTTGTCAATGTTTATTATTACAAATGTTTATGATACCAAAATGTTAATTTTCATATTAATTTTATTATTTTCTGTCTCGGCAATACATATATATTATTTTTGATGCCTGTAGGGAAGTGCATAAATGCGGATACCCAAAGATTTTAAACTAAAAAAAAAGAATCAATGTTTCCGTTATGTTGTTTCGTATATATATTTTTTTTCTATTATTTTTAGCGTAAGACCGAGAGTTTTTTTAAAAAAACATTGTTTTTTTTTCTGATTATTTTATTTTTTTGTAATACATTGATCTATTTTATCAGAATTAAATTGTATGACGATTCTAAGTCGATTTTTTATTTAGAATTTGCTTGTGCTGAAGAATAGTGAATGTGCACTTCCCTTTAGACATTGTTTGTTTTTTTTTTCTATTTTTTTTTCCTTTTTTCGAAATATAATTGTAATTTTTTTAAACTAATCGTTACTAAGTGTGGTTTTTTTACTTTATTTTTCACTATTGTTCGGCACATTATGTTTTCCCCTTACCTCAAATTAAATGAAAATTAGTAAATTTTTTGGATCATGAAATTACGATCGAGATTGAAGAAATTATAAGGTAAGAAAAATACTATGTGCCTTACAATAAGTGAATATTATTTTTGGTGCTCTTTATTTTTGTAAGTTATTCGTTATATGTCACAGTTTCTTCAGTTCGTACTCATCATCATTCAACTTCAAGATTATTTAAATAAAGTTGCCAAGTTCAATAAATCATGTTCAGTTAATATAAATATAAAAACAGAAAATAATTAAAGTTATTTCTCTAAATACAATTAATTAATCCGGATTGAAAGTAAAAATAAAGAGCTCACAAAAAACAACATTTAAATATGAATAAATAAACTTATGATTTCCAAAATGTAACCTATATCAACTCGTGCGCAGCTCACCCAACGTGCCTGCAGTTCACGGCGAACATGATCGTCTCGGTCCGCAAGTACAGCTGGCAGTGCATCGAATGCAAGTGCTGCTCCGTATGCGGTACCAGTGATAATGATGTAAGTCATTCATTTGTTAAATATTTGAGAAGCTCACACATAGATCCCGTTACAATTACAATACAAAATTTTGCGTCGTGTTTGATGACTGTTGTACAGTCTCTTCTGTGCCTTTAAGGCTTAAGTCATTCTGTCTCCTCCATTAAATTTACCGAGGGAAATGGAAACTATTCAGTTTTTTTTTCTCCTCAAATAATATCTTCCGATTTATTTTGTTTCGGGATTAAAGACATTCATGTTTCTAGGACTCGCCGGACTTCAGGGTTCCGGTGTTTTCTCGATTGTAACTACTGTAGATCCTGGCTTACAGGAGTTGCAGCGGTTTTGGAGGTAGCAGAGGGCTTGTCCCAAAAAAAAAATGGAAATTTTGGATTCTCTTGTCTTGTGATAATGGTACAAAAAGGAGAGTGATTTATACAATGTCGCCCTTAACCTGATAGCAATACCTACTATGTTTTTATATACAACCAGGACCAGTTGTTGTTCTGTGACGACTGCGACCGCGGCTACCACATGTACTGCCTGGCGCCGCCGCTGGAGACGCCGCCCGAGGGATCCTGGTCCTGCGCGCTCTGCATCAAGGAGTTCCACACCAAGTAGTAACAGTCAGGTAACTTAAGTACCTTCTAGAAACTTCCATTAATGTAGGGCTATCTTTCGTACGTTTTTTTTTAATATCAATTCGGTCAATTACATAGTGCGATCTTCAGTCCATTTTTATTAGAGATGTCGTGAACGTCTTTCTTTTTAATGTGATAGAATTTATTAACGCCGCTATATAAATAGTATTTATCATAAATATTAATAAGCTATGTCTCATTAGGGCCATTATTGTGTGGTCGCAAAAATGATAAAATAATCACCATTCCTCAATTCTAACCACTAATTATTCTAATGAACTGGTTTGTTCCACTGTATCGTTTAAACAGTTTTATAGATTTCGATAAAATACAGAGAAAGAAAATTAAGAAGTTTAAGATAACAATAATTTGCTAGAGTTTAATGGCAACACTCGATTTTAAGTTACATTATTCTAAACTATATTCTATCTTTTGCAAAATTTCATTCGGTTTTGTTGAGTAGTTTTTACGTGAAAGAGTAAAAGTATGTTAATCTAATTCTATACTAACAAGCGTTTACCACGTATAAAGATAAGCTCCAAAACATATACCAAATTTTTTTTACATTTGTATGTAGCTTAATTAAATTGACATGTATTTTTTTTTATTTTCAGGTTTAAAACAGAAAAGGGCCGTGAGAGAAATAGCTAGGTAGGCGAGATAACGAATTATAGCGGCAGTAAGTTTATAGGGTACAAGCGAGTGATCAGATAGTGTTGCTATAAGTGGGACTTAAACAGTGTTGCCATAGTCTAGTGAGATTCTGCGCGCGAAACGACGGTACCACTAATTTTATGAATATCATGTATAAGAGTTTTTTTTTTATTTATTTATTCGTTTTTGATTGAAGATTTACGGCCTAGCTTTGTACGTATTACAGTAGTAAAGAAATCCTTATTTATTAATTTTCAAATTTTTTTATTGTGACGATTTTTTGTAAATATTTATTTGAGATTAATGCCATTTTTAACATAACTAGCGAAAGTCTTATTTCAGGGAGTACGTTATATAAAGGGCAATACATTTTTGTCTCTGTTTATCTATTTTAACATAAGGACGATATAAGTTAGAAAATTTGGTCACCTAAGTCAAGATGGCCGAATAGATTAAATCAGATCAAAATCTGAACAAATATACTACTCGGTACAACATTATAGTCCGTCTCAACTTGAATAATTTTATTATCTTTATGACTTTCCAAATAAAGTTTCCAAGTAACTAAAGGAACAAAACGCATACATTGATGGCGATGGTAATTAGAAAAATAGTATTTTTTTTTTCATTTATATTAAACATAGATGATATATTTTTTATTAATTTTATTTACGTCTTTTCATATACACCTGGCGATAAATATTGCGCATCGATAGAGGCTCGGCTGACGTGGTGGTGGCCCAAAGATCCTTATGCATGAGGAGATAGTTTCGAAACCTGGCAAGTACCAATGTGTCTTAGGGTGAATGGTCATTAATGACCGAAATTAATTAAACAAGTGATAACAAACAGCTTTCCCAAAGAAACTTTTTTTATTCTCATTAGTTTTATGTATTCGTTTCCTTTCAACGGGATCACAGGATCCCGGACCATTGGAAGGCGTACGAGGGGCCGAAGTCAACTCGCAGAGGCCCGTTGAACAACTTTAATTTAAGTGAAATGGGACATCAGCCGGCAATTATCCCTGTATGCACTATGAAAGTGCACCCAAGGACAATCCTCAGTTGGTGCAGGACTATTGCAAAATGGGGTAATAATTGAAAGGGTTATGGGTATGGGTTGCTGTGGACTGGTGGATATGATAACTATGGAAATACTATGGCCCCTGTCCCTTATCAATATTGTATCAATACGGATATTATTATTAGTTTTATTACTACTATCTTTTGGTCCCCTTCGTGCATCGCCGAATCAGCTGTTAGCGGCGATTTTTCTATAATAATGAGTATAGAAAAATAGTTTCTTTGGGAAAGTTGTTAATTAATTATCATGAGTACAATAATGTGTTTAAATATTGGTCACTAATTACCAGTCACCCGATATGTGGTGTGTAGTATACAAGTTGACTTGGCCGATTGTCTCTTTCTAAATGTCGATGTGCAAGATTTGTCGCAAGGGTACCTAATTGTCCGTAGATTGTACATACATATACATAGTACCGTCGTTTCCCGTGTCATTTCTACATTGTAACGTAATGACGAGTCACCGTTAACGCTTTTTCTACCTCTATCGGTGCTTGGTTTAGTATTTTTTTATTTATTTACCTTCTTACTACTAAGTTCGGTTGATGAATTACGTGAGTAACGACATCTGTCGTCGATGTAAGTGAAACAGTTGCTATGGAATTTTGGTTTTTACTTTTGACAGATGTTTTTCTTGTGTATCTTGTAATAATATTAATTCAAAGTTTAAGATCCAGTGGTATTTTCATGTTGTTTGGTTTTCTTTCATGAAAAGATAATGTCAAAATCATTTATGTAATAAATTAGACCCTTATAAGCACTTTGTCAAAGCTTTAAGGTAAAAAGTTTCAGTCTGTCGGTCAGTCGTCTTAGTGAAGATACTTGCTCGTTCCAAAGTGTTGATTCCAATGAAGAAGAATAACCAAGAAACTTCATGGTTACTCTTTTGCAATAATTTATTTTGCCTATTTTTTAAGATTTTTTTCCATCTTTTTACACACTCTATGTAATTGATCAACCGTACTTCTACCCCGTATTTCAAGTCGATCAAACTTTCCAGTCTCGTATATCAATAATACTAAGCTACTATGGTTCTTATAAAAATAAGATTAAAGACTAAAATCGTATGTAAATGGGAGTCGCGGGCGGATTCAGTCATTTAATTAATACGTAAATATCTATATTGTTCTTATATAGGATGTTTCACCTTTGAGAGTGTCCATTTGTAGTAGGTTTTCTTGTAAACTGATGTTTTAATGGTTGGCGTTTTAGAACTATTAGGATCATTATTGAATGATCCAGAATGTCAAATATTTCGTCAGTCTAAGGAAGGTAGTTATGAATTATTGTCTTTGTATTTCGTTGCCAATGCTTTTAATATGATTTTTAAATATAATTCCCAATCTGGCCATGTTGGTTTCCTAGTCATGAGTGGGAGACAATCACAGTAAACTGTTTTCAGTGTATTCTCAATAAAACTTTATTGTACATGTATAAAATTAACTTAATTTTTTCTAGTTATTCTTTTCTGAAGGCAATCATTCATAACTCTCGCATAACAATAGTAAGTTTCACTGTGCTTTGATCGCTGTCTGCATTTAGGGGCCGTATACACGGCAGAAATTAATTAAAATAATAAGTACATTATAGTATCATTTTTGTATAATAAATCTATCGTGAGACATAAGTACTAAATTGATTAGGTAATATAGCTTACTTATACAATGTCAGCGCTTATAGTTGTCGTGATTATGAGCCCCGGTTGTCATTCGAAACTTCGAGCACGCTCGAACAGTTATGGGAGTAAGTAATATTATCTCATTAATGTAAATTAGTATCATGTACGTAAGTTAAGCTTTTTGTGCAATGTTTAACATTGCAACAAAATTTTCAAGGCTGGGAGTTCTATGGACACGACAAATTGATTGTAAAACTAGTACCTCCTTCTCCACAGTCGGTTAATATTACAGTGTATGTGATTTTGATACTTAATTACTCATTTTTTAAGTTTAGTTTCAGTCTTTTACTTGTGTATATTAATTATATATATTGTATGTATGTAATAAGGTTCAATTTAGCACAAACGTAATATTTCATTTAAAGTCATTATCATTAATTCATTTTTGCAAATGTTAACAATAGGTAAGTTGAAGTAAGCGAAAATAAACCTAATAGTTTTATTATAATCAAGCAATATGCAATCTTAATACTGCTGTTTTTTGGTCGACTTTTCAGTGATTTAATATGACGTGTATAATAGGGTAGTTTCCAACAACCAAAAGAAATGGTAAAAAAATAAATATTTTGTATGAAATATCATGTATCACTTATGTTTCTTAAATTGTCTAATAAAATAAAAATAACAATTACGTTTAATGTTAATTTAATAAATGAAGGTTTGATTATTATTTTTATAATTTATAAGCGAAATAATTTCTTTTTGTCTAAGGAAACTATCCCAGTTATAAACGCAGTCTTTAATTAAAATAATTAAATATTTCAATAAGTCACTCGTATCCTTAGAACTTCTGCTTATTTTCTATTTAAGATTGGACTTTCACGTTATCATGATTGCTTTACTTATTATAATATAACTTCCCTTCACTAGGTAACAATCGAGTGATATACAAAATTTATTTAAAACTAGCTTGTGCCCGCGACTCCGTTCGCGTGGAATAGTGACTTCCTGCAGATTTTTGATATAAAAACTATTCTACGTCTTTCCTCGAGGTACAAACTATGTCTGTACCAAATTACAAAGAAATCGGTTCAGTAGTTTAGGAGTGAAGAAAAGACAGACAGAGTTATGAGTTGAGTTATTTATTCAAGTCACAGCGGAAAAAACGGTAATATTATCTATACAGTATTCCAACTTCGTACAAACTGACAAATAGCGAGCTATGCTCGACGTTATATGCAAACAGTCGCGACAGTACCGCAGTCAGGGACGGACGGTGCTATGTCAACAATAATCGCGCGAAGTTATCATATGGTACTTATGGTAGTTTCCAACTAGTCAAATTATACTGAATTATCAAACTAATTGATACTTTTCTATGAAATTTGTATGAAAAACTGAGTTATGACGTCAATGAATAAAAATATAGGTATTTTTTATTATTGAAACGTCGTAGTACTTTATTTTTGACCTAGGAAACTACCCAATTCAACTACATATTTAACATGACGTGTAGGTTTGCTGTTTTGGTATCGGTCGTTTTAATTCGTCAATATAGACATAAGTTTTTTTTAAATTACCTGGCATCTCATAACGGTAAAAACTTCCTCATAAAGTGACTCTTATCCCATGGGAATTAGGCACATAATAACACTTTCAAACTGTGACTTTTTCATTACTGTTATTCCTAGCCATTTGCGCCAAAATTCAATTAGCGAAAAGCCCAAAAAATATGTATGTAATTACCAACATTACACACTTTTACCATTATGTACTATTATTAAGAGTTAAGTTAATATCATAAGTAAAGCAATCATGACGATATCATTCCTTAAAAACGGATCGTGACAAATTGTATTTTGTACCAATAAAGAAGGAAAATTTTAAATTAATTGGCGATACACAAGCATTCCAATTTGATATGCATATGTACGTATGTGGTGGTCTATTGTCATATCTGTATGTTTGGGCATTCATTTTGTGTGTGTTATTAAGGAATTTACATGGCCACCATCGATTCAATGACCTCTTTTTTATGTGTCGCTGAAAACTGAAAACCACTCTGTTCCTGACCTAACAGTCCAACTTTTGAACGTTGACGGCCTTATTACAAAACAAGGTTTTACTTTAGTCTAAGACTAAACCATTGAGCCAGTTTTTGTATTTTGTATTGAAGGTAGATGACAATAAGATTCAAAATACAAAACCCGACTCAATGGTTTAAACCTGGAGTAAAGATAAGTCTTGTTTTGTAAAAAGGGAGTGAGAGTCCTAAATATAACGAGTATTTCTTTATCTCCAGGATTGGCAGAAGGGTTTAGGGTGGTAGTTTAAATGTGCAAGTTTATCAGAGACCGCTGCTCCCCGATCTTTGTCAAATGTGTATTATTTTATTGGCTATTATGAGAGCTAGGGGAAGATGTGGGTTGTTAACAAAATTGTGCTTTATTTTGTCTATAAATGACGTATAATTTTCAATGATATATCAAGATTTCCCTATATAAAAATAACTAGTGACTCGACCCGGCTTCGCACTAGTGGAAGTCTGATATTAAATTTCCACTATTTAATGGATGTAAACATATCAATCTTATTCCTCAATCACCCTATCTATTAAAAACTGCATCAAAATCCGTTACGTAGTTTTAAAGATGTAAGTATTGTCCGGACAGAAAAAGCGACTTTCTTTTATACTATTTATATATATAAATATAAAGCGACAATTGACACACAGAATGAGTGCCCATTATTTTTATGTACTAACTTTAACAGATTTATGTTTAAATGTGTGAGGAATTTCACCAGATATACTTAAGCATTTTAAATCGCGTACAATTTTAAAGTAACGCACAAATCTATTAATACTTCTTTATTTTTGTATATATAGAATCGCACATTTATTATTTTTCTATTCAACTTTTTACAGAAATAAGAACTCAAGGTTATGCTTCGCCTAGATTTACCAAAACCTAACACAAAAGTTGCATT